AATGACACAGGAGGCAGCAGTACCATGCCTAGTACACAGGTACCCCTGCTGTAAATGACAGAGTTATTGTCCAAAGAAGTCTGGGCTTCAAATAGCTAATGTACAAAATTGTGGTGGCCATGGGGAGCCAATATGACTGGACAGCATGGGTACCACTCAGAGAGATGTGAAGCCCAAGACAGGGGCTCTTTCCAGAGGCCAAAGTGATCCTCATTCCTTGTCACCTCCTGCCATGGTCACTTCCTGGCACTGCTCACCACCTTCTCTTCATTTCTCAATCAATCTCTTTATTCCAGGCTTTTTTTTTTTTTTCCTTTTTTCTGTGTTCCCTCCCTCCCATTGCCTCCAATGTCCCTGCCCTGCTTCCTACCTTCTCTTTCCTGTTGGCAGTGATGCCAGCTCTTCAGCTCTAGGCTTAGTAATGCTATTGCTGTCTTGTGCAGATATGCCAGAATTTGCACTGACATTTGCTCTTTTTCATCAGAATGAAATGTTCTTCCTTCTGATCTATTTCTCTGGCTTGTGCCTTTCAAATTTGGCACTAGCCATCTATTTCTCTTTCCCCTATCTTGCTCTTTGTGACGTGCTGTTCCCAATGCCCAAACAATCAAAATGACCTAGCCATCTCCTTTCCCAGCTTTGCAGTTTCTCAGTCCTGAGGAAGCTTCCCCCATTCTGTTCCAATCACTGCCACTGAGAACTGCACCTCCTCTTACTATAATCCCTCAAGCACTCAGCAAGAGCATTCCTCTGCTAACTGAACTGCAGCAGAGTCCAACCTCTTCCCTTTAGGGGCTGCTCGTGAGGGAGGACGTCTCCAGCCTCCAATGACAGAGTACATGCTGTTCTCTCAGCCCCAGGTAGGACACAAAGGGCCACAGGCAGCATGAAAACCTAGAGCTGCCTCTGCCCTTCTCTATGCAGTTTTTTTGTTTTCTGCAGGTGCAGACATTTCCTACTCCATGAAGAGAGCTGGATTAAAGCAGAGAGATGCTCTGAGAGGCAGGCAGCACTGAAAGGCCATGCCACGTGCCACAGCCACAGCCTGAGTCTGAGCAAGGACTTTGCTCACGTTATGCCAAGTCTGAGTCGATGTACCCTGCTGTTCAGAGGGATTTTTTAATGCTACTCACAAAGTGCTTTGGGGAAAATGAGGACAAAAGTTTTTTTTATAAGTATTGCAAAGGCATTGATGGGCTGCTACAGACAATTAGGAGGAATTTGAGCCCCTAGAATCTCTCCTCAGCACTGAGGGGCTTCATGAATCAAAGGTGGTAGCAACTGAAGAAACAAAAGAAAAGGGAATTTGCTTGTAACTGCTCACAACACTTTGTTATCTTAAAAAGGAAAGAGAGCTCTTTAGACATGGTGGCTGACCAGAGGAGCAATCAGCAGTGGCTTCAAGTAAAACACAGTGTGCACAGCTGGAGAAAGAGCAAGTGCACACTTCTGGTCCTTAGCAGGAACACCTAATATCTTGGCCATCTCGTTTCCAAAGTTAAACCCAGGGGCCCAAACCTATGCATTGACCTCCATGTCTCATGCCTTCTGATGCAGAACAGCCATCTGGGCAGTGCCACTCCAGAGCCAAGATGATAATTTGGCGGGTTCCCAGTATTTTCCCATGGGAAAAAAGCTGGGCAGTTGCTGCTGCTGTACGTCTCCAGAAGGCAGCCTGCCAGCCCCCAGGGCTCTTGTCCAGTGCCAAACAGATCTTTAAATGCATGGCCCTCAGTGACAAACCAAAATGAAAAGGTGCCCATACACATCTGAGCAATCAGTGCTCCATCACGGTGATTTTGTGCAGCCACTGGCATGATCTCTGCTGCTTCTCCTGTAACTGTGTCACTGAAGAAAAGGGCTTTTAAGTGTTGGTGCTGCTAGCAGCACTGCTTGCCGCTAACAGGAGGAGAGCTCTGCCTGACAGCCCTCCTCTGGGAACCATCGACTCCTCTGCTCGTGACGTAGGCAGCTGTCACGAAAGATCACAATAGCTATAAATGCCTTTGAAAATAAAATTAAAACAACAACAACAAAACAATGAAGAGAATTTGTTGTCAGGCAAATAATGAGCATAAGAGAGCACTGTAGAAAAATGTTTTCACAACAACCTGGTAGAGAAATGCGGGTAGCTGAAGCTTTCTGATGACTTTGCTCCCCTCATCAAGTACTACCAGCAAGGGAGGAGTCCTGTCTTGGTGTTATGCAGACACCAAACATTGCAAGTATTGAGCCCTTAGAAAAAAAAAAGGAATTAAAGAGGGTGATAATATCTGTATGGAAGGCCAGCAAAAGCATTTCTTCCGTCTACAAGGTGACAGAAGAGTTCAGAAGCAACTTTGTAGCACTACCACATTTACGTGTTAGATATCCCATGCAACACCATCGAGGCTCTGGAAGTTTCCTTTGAATACTCCTCTTCCTAATACCACTTCCACCTCACGGGTATTACCTTTAGACAAATGCCTTTTGCTAGGCTGCTAGTCTCCCCCTACCCAGGAAGCTAGGTGAATGCAGTGCGTGCTGCTCCTTGAGAGGCAGAAGTGCATACCACCAGCATGCTTGTCTGGCAACCCACAGCATCTCACGTCATTCCCAAGGAGATGGAAAAACAGCTTTGGTCTAGGGAGACTGCAGGGGTGAATCCTTGCAAAGATGAGGTACAGCAATCTGCAATGGCCCTTTACATTTTTAAAGATGAAGGCAAAACCCCAACTCTGTGTGACTGCAGCTAGTTCTGCCAGACTTAAATCATCAGGACATCACGATCATCACTATTAAAAACTCTTGGCAGATCTAGCAGCATTAGCATAGCTATTTAGAGTTAAGTACTTCAGGCTCGGTTCTCCTGGCAGTACGAGCTAGCTGCTGAACACGCATCTACACTGAATATTGAGCTCCCCAAACCAAGCACATAGCAAAGGCCATGCCTTCTGTTCCAAGGGTGTGAGACTGGGATTCTGGGAGAAGTGAACTACTCTGGGCATTCCTTTTTGTGCACATTCTGTTTGGTACAGGTGGGATTTGTATAAAGATGTATGTATAACTGCCACCCTGCTTAGATGCAGAAGTATAATGTTTTCCCCAACCTTACATCAGGAAATAATCTGAAGTCAAGAAAGGAAAAAATCCTGAACTGAGGTTTGCCACTGAGGATAATCATCTGAGCACATCCAGCGCTTTAAACTGTCTTAAGTTGTGTAGAAAATGAGGCTTAGGCATTTTGACAGGCTTCCTTTAAAATCTACAACAGTGGACTTGATTGCATCTACTACTTTGCTCAGATTTTGGCAGACAGGTCCAGCAGCAGCCACGACTGACACTATCCTCAGCCCAAGGAAGTTGAAGTACAGAGATGTTGCTTCCCTCTCTGTGATACAAGAGGTAGATGGCATTGCCAGGCAGGGTCAGCTCAGAGACTGTTTTCATTTAAGCCTTCTGTGAATCAATGAATGTCAATGACAACGCGTTTGCCACCGCACAAACAGTGATTTTCACCTGTAATACTCTTCAGATGCAATGTTTGAATGACCCGACTTGAGAAGCACACTTGCACAACTGCCCCTTCTAACTTCCACAGTGGTCTGTCCTCTGGAGTCTCAGCTGTATGTCAGCTCACTTTTAGTTGGATTTTATTTTGACATTGTAATGAGGTGAGGAAGTCCAGTGTGATAGGCATACATGATATATATCAAGCAAGAAATTGCTGAAGATGTGTGTTATTTCAGGATATATTCATTTAGTCTGATAAAAATGCCATTTCTATAGAAACAATTGATAAAGCAAACAACCATGAGGAAATCCCATGCTGTCAAGAGCCAACACAGAGCCTTGCAGATGCACTGCTAGAGATGAGTAAATACTCTGCTGCTTTGGGCTTTTAAAATATGTAACCTCTTCCCCTCACATGGTTAAATCAATTCACTAGAGCATGGATCCATGCTTTTTATTGGTGAGCACACAGAGGTTTGATTTAAAATATCTTTGCATTACATAGTCTTAGGAATCCAAGCAGGCTATGATCAGTGAGGTGTTTTTGTCACAGACAATGCTTTTGTGCTTCCACTCAACAAGTAGGCCAGAGAGCTGCAGAAAAAGCCACCCAAAGTTCTCTGGGCAGATCACCATCTCTTCTTATCGTGCTCTCCCATCAGCAAGAGAGCTGCCACCAATTACTCACAATCCAGTTCTCACACATGCACATTTCTTCAAGAACACACATCTTTTTTTTTAATGCCACTTGAAACTCCTGCTGTGCTTTGCATGACATTGCTGTGTGTACTTCCCTGCTTTGCTGGTTTGGGCTTTGACTCTTCCAACTGGATTCCTGTGGAGAAAGATGTTGATGTGCACTGCAACTACTAATTTGAGGAACAGTATATTACTGTCCCTTCCAAGTTCAAGGCTCAGACCCTCACAGAATTGAACCTATAGCACAAATAGCAACTTGCTACTGAATGTTTCTCCCATCAGTCTCAACTCCTTCTTACAAAGAAGAACTTGCAAGGTCTTGAATCATGGATCTGTTCTGACTTATCATCAATCCTCCAGTCCCAGGCAAACCTGTGCACTTCCCACCACTCTGCTCTTCAGCTACTCTGTTCCTGACTTTATTCTCCGTCTTCTTGAAATTAATTTTTAGGATAATCCGTCTCCTTGGCCTTCTGCTTCTTAGGCAACTCATCCTAATATATACCTTCTCTGCAACACATATAATACTATTGCATTTACATGCTTACTCTTTCTAATCTCACTAAGGCCACTGCCGTATTGTCTTTGTTGTTAAGATCCCTTCCATTTTACAGTTCAGTGAGAAAGCATTTGGTTGTAGACTCTCATGCTTCTCTGCTTTGGAAAACCAAAAACATCTACCAGAGTCACATACAGCTTTTTGCTTGTGGCAAGCACAAAGAAAGGAGTGAGGAAGAATATTAGAGCTTATGACAAAACTGATGAACTTTTAAATTAAATCTCACAGAACAGCTCTCCTTAAGTTCACCTCCAGTGACTCTTACAGATGCTCTGGTGGGAATTTCCCTGTCAGAATAGGTTAGCGGATTCATGCAAGCATGTAGATACTTATAATTTACAGGATAAATATGAAGACGCAGAAACATGATTTATTGATAGTGCCTAAGCTATATATAGCACTCTTAACTGTATTATTAAAACAAAAGGTAAATAATTAATGGAAGGAAGAAAAGATACATAAAGCACAGTCAGTCTTGACAGGAAGTATTCCTGTCTTGCAGTAATTAAGATTAAATATACTTGGAGCACATTTTTTATATCTTTCTGACAAAAAAGATTATTTGCTTACTTTGTATACCCGTAAGAATCACTGTGTGTGGCTGCAGAACTTGTGCAGCCAATGTGAGCAAAACTGGAGGCGGGGGGGGAAATGCTTACAGCTGCTCAGTTTGGACACCACTCTATGCTCAGGATAGGATTACCGCCTGTCATTATTGACCAGTTACACCTGGTAAACCCTCAGTTTAGTTTCAGATTAGATACAACTCAGTGCTTGCTAGTTTTTCTAAATCCAGTGCTGACCATACGTGACAAGTATTGCAGAAAAGTACAGGCTTACTTCAGCAGAAACCAAGAAACAAAGTTAAGTTTTTTATCAGAATCTGAGAATTACTCAGGCAAAGCAAAATTCTCCTAGCAACTGTTTACATATCTCACATACGCATTTCTTGGGTTTAAGAGGAAAAGATGATGAGCAGATCAGCCCTAAGAACCTGTAGTCTCAGGCCATCTACTTTGTTGAATTGATTCTGTTTAAGATACATAGGGTCAAATATCCTGTAACAATATCAGCATATATATTTTCTCACTGGACATATAGTAATTTATTTACATCATTTCCAAACTAACAATGTTAGCAAGGTCAAAGTGACCTTACAAATAGTTATTAAATTCCCTGGAACCAGAACAGCTCAACCTCATAAGCGGCTGTCCAACAGTCTAAACAGTCTCAACACTTAATTGAAAAACATTCCAGTGCAACCAGTGCCAAAGCTTTCCTGTCTTATTACCAAGTAACAGAACCCAAATGTCTTTCTGAGGCCCAAGGCAAATCATTCCTAAGTTTAGTACCAGCAAAGACTCAGAGTTGGAAAGGTCTATTCCCACCAGCACATGTGACAAACTCTTCAGTAAAATCAATGCCCTCTTGTCTTGTCTAAAGATAAACAGTGCAATAAACTAAAATTTAAGTTCCACCTTTTGCTTCAGACAAAGGTTTTAAAGCAGCACTACACAATCTTTATTGAGCCACAAGCGATACTGCACAAAAGCCAACAATGCACCAAAGGGAATATTAAACTTGTAACTTCCAGACACCATTCCTGTGGCAGCCACAGAATCCCATTGCCATCAGCAGCATCAGATGGTTCCATGGAGAAGGTTTATAGAAACTGCTCTTGACTTTTAACTACAAGAAACTTGATCAATTATTTTAAAGTGTATCTTACATCCCAAACCAGCAGAATCTGGAATGACAAAACTAAGTGCAAAATGGTGGCAGGAGGGTAACAATTGATTTCAGTGAAATGGAGAATTGGACCTCATGTTTCTCAGTCACTGCTATTCCAGAATAGAACAGATTTTACTTTGATTTCAGTTCCTTAGGGAGTGCAAAACAGAGCTCTACCATCTGATGAACGGCAGCCTGGCAGGGCAGTATCGGGGAAGTACTCTAAACCCTCTTGAGGCTCTCTTCTGATAATCTCCAAATGTAATTTAGAGTAGCTCTATTTATTCCTCCTGCTAGAGCCACCTATAAGTACTAGTAGTAACTGCTCAAACACTCGTGCCAGCATCAGGCAGAAAAATATCTACTCACAAGGACAGAATTGGACTTACTCTTGGTTACTGAGTTGGTCTAGCTGGGCATCATCAAGTCTTTTTGGTGGTTCCTACCTTAAGAAGTTCTTAATGATCTAAAGCAGGGCAGCCTTCAAATTCACCATCTCAGGAACAGTATTGCTCATCAGAAGACTCACAGCTGACGGAGATATTTTTTGCCCAGCATTTTCACAGAAAATTTCCATTTTGTATGAGTTCATCACTGGTTTGCTGCCACTGCAATTAAGCTGGTTGTCTTTGGATAGGATTATGATTTATCCTAATTTCTATGGAGATTTAAGTGTCAAAGTTGCGTCTGCCAACAGTTTTGCTGTAGCATCCAACACCGTCTTCTGAAGGGATAAAAAGACTGATGAGGACGTGTCACTCCTTACAGTCACTCCGCGACTTACCAGGGTGTTCATGGCAAGTCCTCCCCATGCAGCTGGCCCACCTGGCCCAAGGCCTCCAGTCTACACACAGGTTAAAAGGCTGAAAGGTGGCCAAGCACCAATGCTTCTGGTAGGTATGACTGCTCTCCAGCAGTTTTTAATAGAAGCTGACATGTATGAATAATAAATGGATATTCAGACATGAATAATAAATTATAGCTCCATTTATATAGCTTTGTGTATCCCTTCTCCGGAAACACCACCACTCTCGGGGACACAACCACCTCTTAATAACGAGAAGGCACAGATGGTACATTTACAGAGATGGCTTTCTGTACGTGTGGGCACACGCTACCAGAAGTGAGAGCCCGTATTTACACCTGAGGCGGAACGTGCCTTTGGACTGCACAAACCAAAAAGGATTTAGGGGAAATACTTCAGCGATGAGACCCGTTATCCACCATGCGCCAAGCCGGAGCGCACGGAGCCACACCTCCTCCCCGGGCAGCAGAGAGGCGGCACGGCCCGGTAGCCGCGTATCACAGCCCCTGGGCGGGCCGCAAGGGCAGAACGCGCCAGCGCCGCCGCTGAGGGCAGGAAAAATGGCGGCGCCCCGCCCCAGCCTGCGGAGGGAAGCGCGGGCGGAAGTGGCCGCGGAAGTAGCGCGGCGGCGCAGAGCGGAAGTGCTGGCGGGGAGCGGCGCGGGCCGGGTGCAGGTGAGTGGTGCCCGGGGCCGGCCCGCGCACCGGGGCCGTAGCGGCTACGTGGGCCTCGGGGCCGCTTGTCGGGTCTGTCTTCGCCTCAGGCTCGCCGCTGCCCCGCCGGAACAATGTCCCGACTGCCCCGGACGCTGGCTGCTGTAGGCCCCCGCTCTAACGGCCCTGTTTAGGTGCGCTGTTAGGGGCCTGGCTCAGGCCTACAGGCGTCAGGGCACTTCACCTCCTCAGCTTGGTAACAGCAGGCGTTGTTACAGGCCTGCTCTGAGCCGTGCCGTGTGATGCTTTCACTGGCTGATAACCTAGAGCAGAGAAACTGTGCTTTTCTCTTGACAGCTGGGCTGCCTCGGTGAGGCTGAGATGTGACTGATTCTCACTTCAGTTCTGCATGTCAGCCAGCGAGGTCTGAGGTGTAAACCAGAAATACATTGATGGGGGGCACTGATATGAGAGCAGGACCTTGTTTTCTTCTTTGACCCAAACCTGATTTCTTTTGTAGAAGGATGCAAACTTGGATGTTGAATGCAAGTTAGGCTTGAAAATGGGGATAAAAACTAGAAGATAATGTCCAATTCAGATTGGACATTAGGAAGAAGATTTTTACAGTGAGGGTGGTGAAGCACTGGCACAGGTTGCCCAGAAAGGTGGTGGATGCCCCATCTCTGGAGACATTCATGGTAACAGTGGACCGGCTTTGAGCACTCTGATGTAGCTGTAGGTGTCCCTGTTCATTGCAGGAGAGTCGGACTAGATAGTCTTTAAGGGTCTCTTCCTACTCAAATTCTGTGACAAAAAGATGACAACATTTAGAAATTGGTAGAATTCTTAGATGAACCTTTGTTTTTACATACAGTTGCTGCCTTTCCTTCTTTAACCCTTTCAGGTTCATGGTTGTTGTTATGTTGTTAAATTATTCTCGTGGGCTGTAGATCTCTACTGCTGCAGAAGAAAAAAACGCATTGTAAATTCAGATGATCTAAAGAAAATAGAAATTGATATGATAGTGGCTTATATCGAGTAAGTGCATTTTTCTGTAGCCTGGTGGCGAATGTCAAAGTTCTTTTGCTGAAGTGTAGTAGCACTTAGCTCTAAACAAAGCTATGCCTGATTCTTATGTTGACTTACATCTGCTGAGAGTAGTAACAGGGATGGATAACATGTGCCTCAGGAGCTTAAATGCTGCTCCAGGAGAACCAGAGGCATTATACATCTTTGTTTTTGTAAAGTAAGTGCAGTCTTTTACGATGCACTGGTGATGCATTAATTTATGGTTAGAGCCCCTTACTGCCCTAACTGTCTTTTGTCCTCAGGCTGAAGCTTGAGCTGAAATTGGTTAATCCAAAAGTGTGTCTTGGCACTTGAAGCAGGCTGTGGCTTTGTTGCCCTCTGTGTTTTTACACCTTTTTTAGTCCAACTTCAACCAGTTTCCAGCTACATTTGTAAAACTATCTGCAGGACTGGCAGACTTTTCAACGACTGTATCTGGGGCAGTCCAAAGCATATCAGAAAAGTATATTTTGAGATTCTTAGTGCAGACAGAGAATAAAACAGCAAATGATTCCGTGTCTGGTGCATATAGGTGCTTGTGGTCTTTTCACTGCATTTCTGACCCCTTGCAGACTTCTCTAGGACAGCGATCCCATGGGCTGTGTGTCAGTTAGGTGATGCTCCCTTTAGACAAACAGCTTTTGTTCACTTAGCTTTTAAATAGCAGGCTGCAAGATTGGAGAAAACGAAACTGTATGGAGGTGGCATCAGTGCTGCTGATCAACACTGGTAGTTATTTTTCTTACATGTTTCTGATGGATAAGAATTGCTCTTTATGATGGCCAGGTAAGTGTTCCTAATGTTCTTAAATGGCCTTTGGTGGGTATAGAAATAGGTTCCATTAGAAAGCGAACTATTTTCCTTACATTTTTTTTAGCATTCAAGTACAATTTAAGCAATTTCTCTCTTGTTGGACTGTAGAAGAACCATGTCAGAGGCCTTGGTTTTATTAAATTTCTAGACCCAGTTAGTACATGGAAATAGCACATTTAAGTCTTTTATCTATTTGCTACACAAACTAGTTGCCACCTCAGTGTTACCATCCTATAACAACTTAGTTTTGGATGACTTTCTAACTTCTTCAGGCAGTGACTGCAGAATTGTCTTCTTGTGACTAACAATTCTCAAGACAAATGAAAGCAGTTCCAAGGTCCAATTTATTTCTGAGTAATGTAATATGTGGAGACTCAGACAACTGTGTATATGTGTCCCAGTGTGGAAGAATCCTATCACAGAAAGGTTAGCAGCACATTTTACTTATAACCAGGCATTTTGCGTCTGCTAATCCTACTGCCATCATCCTCCTTTTGTCTTTGAAGCCCATGATGACAGGGTATGAAACATTTGCCTTTTGATGCATGTGCTGCTGCTTAGGTGTATCAAAGAGGGACTTATCAACAGAAGTGTGACCGTAGCAGCCCCTTTATGGCAGGCAGCTCCATAAATAAGCAGCAAATGCAGGTGCTTATACTTGGAGTGCAAAAAAAGGAGCCATCTGCAGGAGCTGCAATTCTTTGCTGTGTGTTTTAAAGGGAACTAGGCTTCAAGGGAGTGTTTTTGCCTTTTCAGCATCAGTCAGAACTGTGGTGAGATCCCAGGTGTTTTTGCTATGTTTTGAGGCAGGGTAGCAGCATGCTCCAATCCCATCCTGCTCTGAAGTTGCCCCTCACTGGTGAGAGTTCCACAGCTGTCCTTGATGGTGTTGGCAGAGAATTAAGGCATTTCCTCTGTAGGCTGGAGAGGATTTTATGGTTCAGAGGGCATGGGGGAGTTCCCTTGCTGCTATTTGTGCCATATGTATGCTTGGTGTAAATGGAGGCTGTTGTTCTGGGACTCTTGAGCTGACAGCTTTCATTAGGGCCAGTGTTGTGAGATGTCTGATTTTGAGCAACTAACTCATGATGCTGGCATCATATGAAGAGGTCTCTTTCTGCAGTAATGAGTGCTGAAGTGAATGGAGTCCCTGGAAACTCAAAGCCTTGGAAAATTCACTTCAGATTGGTGCACAAAGCTCTTAAATCCGTATGCTTTAAATTCATTTTTTGCACAAAAATTGGGACGGAAAAAAAGATTTTCAACAGGTCTCATATTGTCTTTGGTTGTGCTTGAAAGCCCTGATTAAAAAAAAAAAAATCACCAAAAAGCTCTGAAGCAAAAGAATACAAAACTGTATAACTACCCAGGCCTCTCTTAATTTAGCGCTGATGGAGTGAGCCGCTCCGTATCTAACTGAGGCTAAGTAAGAATGGGATCACTAAAATTGGTATAAATGTTCCAAGCATTGGTCATAAATACTGCATGAGGGAGGTAATTCTTGTGTCTATCAGCATCCTTCCCAGAAGATATCTTCCCACATTCTTCACAATGAAAGATGATATTAGCACAAGACAAACAAAATGTTGGTTTCAGGGCAGGCTGTGTCTTCATGGGAGTTGGACTTTGTTTTGGTCTGAGATTAAGACAGAGATTCACTTTGAAACTTTGCATTTTGTCATGTGTACAGCCTATCCACGTGGCAGGTGATCATAATTTTAAAAATCCAAAATCCACATCCATTTTCCTTTCTGACTTAAATCATTGCTGAGTCCCAGTGATCTTTTAAATGTAGAAGAGATCAAATATGTACAAAATATTTCGAAATACCATGTGTGGGAGGGTGTCAAGTCTGCAGCATTAGTGGTGATCAGTGATTCAATTAGCGTGAAATGTATTTGCAAACACTTTACTTGCTGTGTATGAGAAATGAATTGATGGTCCCAGGCTCTGGGAATGAGAGATGTAGAGTAAATTTGCAAGTATTTTCATGGCTGGTAGACAAGAGGTGGAAGAGTTGTCTTCCTTGTACATTCTGATATGCACCAAGATACAAGTGTTTATAAATACTACCCTCAGCTTTCAACCCAAAACTGGTCTGAGCAGTGAATGAAAATGCTTGGAAATAACATACCTTCCACCAGGAAAAAGACAGTGAACCAGAATGAACTAAAGCAGAAGTATTAAATAGGGAAGAAAAGCTTTTTTTTTTCTTCTTTTTTTTTCAGTTGAGAGGTTAGAAAGAGAAGGGGAGCTGTAGTACTGAGTATTCTGTCCACATCTACATGAAGAGACTTTTGCATCCTGATGGAGATATTAACACTGGGGTATTGAGAAGACAACAGTGTGGTGGAGGGAAGAGATTTACATGACACTGTGTCTCTGGCATTCTTGTTTGGTGCTGATTCTGGAGTAAGTTAAATCCACTGCCTTAGTGTAAGTAATTCTGTGGCTTTGCAAATCCAAGGCCACGTGTTTGGCATTCTGACAGTGATATACTTGTTGGCTTGCTTCTTGCTGGGTGGGTGCCATTCTGCTCCCAGCTGGATGGTAGACCGGGTGTCGACTTGTCTAGTAGCGCATTGTTTAGCAGTGAAGAGCAAGTAAACTGTTTGTCTGGGATGCTGGTACAACTAGTTGTGTCCTGGGGTGTTCGTAAAGGGCAGCTGTGGTATGTACATAAAGAGCAGAGCAGGACAAAAGTGAATTGTTTTCCCTTGTTGCTTCTATCCTCTCCCTAGGAAAGCCAGTTCTGTGACCAGCTTTCCTTGTGTTCAGTAGGTTCTGTGAACAGTAAGCAGGATCAGCCTGCAAAAATAAGAAGACAAGATGTTCTCAAGACCAAAGCCTGGTGAGTCTGAGGCAGACCTGATACACTTTCAAAACCAGTTCCTGGCAGCCCGAGCTTCACCTGCAGTAAAGATTGTGAAGAAAGCAGACAAGAGGAAGGGAGAGGAAAGGAACACAGATGCTGAGAGACCCCAGCCACAGGACAGCAAGGATGTGGTCATGCTGGACGGTAATTTCCCTTGTGGGGTTCTTTCATAAATACACATATTTTTTTCTCTTTCAGTGTTCCTCTTTGCTTGCCCCATCACCTATCCCAAACTGCTTTTTCCCTACATGTGTCTTCCCTGCAATATTATTTGTTCTTAGCCTCATTTGAAAATGCACATGTCCAATACTGGTACCTCTGTTAGAACCATCTTTCCAACACACTGCCTTCAACCCATGTATCAGCTGTCTGCGGTATTCCAACAATCCCAATGCAAGAGGTATTTTCTGTGATTTGCACTCATTCAATTCCTGAGTGCTTATTTTACTACCTATCCAGATCCTGCTCTTAGTGTCTCTGAATTCAACTCTGCTAACAGTTCCAGCTTCCAGCCAGCAGGTCTATCGTGATAAGCCTCCTTCCTATGTTTTTCTTTTCCTTCACCAGCAGTAACTGTAAGACTTGTCACGCACTCAGTAGTCTCAAAAACTCAATATTCTTTCTTAAAAGCAACAATTTAAATCTTACAATGCTTGTTTCCAGGTAAGAAAATATGAGCCCTGTTTCTGAACAGTGAAAAGGAAGCCTTGACTTGCTCCTGATCATGCTAATCATTCACTTGGAGCTGTCAGTGAAATTGTGCTTTTCTGTGAGCACAAACTGCAAGGATAAGATTTGTTTCTTGTATAGTCTTTTGCCTCTTCCTTTAATATTTGAAGTCAGGCCTGAATATACTTTCTCGCTTATGCAGCCCTTTGAAGGGGCCTTGATGCCAAAACATAAATAATAAAACTCTTAGGCATATTGCTCTCCAGTGCCCAGTACAAGTCAGAGATGAAACCTGTATAATTGTCTTACTGCTTCTTCATCTTGCTTATTTCTTATCAGAGCAATAACATGTGCTGTTAAAGACTGTTTGGTTTGGTACCTATTGTGCAGTAGTTATATATGAGTAACTTGGATCTTTTTTTTTCCTTTTTCTTTCCCCTCCACAGATTTTCCTGATATTCTCCCTGCTCTAACTCCTGGTCCTCCAAAAAAGTCCAAAATCAAAAGTGCCTGTGTCCACTTTGATGATGAAGATCCAGAAGAAAGACTAGAGAATCATGATCAACACATTACAGCAGTCTTCAGCAGAATCATCGTATGTCTAACTTTTATGTCATGTGTATTTTGAGTGCTGTGACTTGAGCTGTGACAGGGATGTAGGGCTCTGTTTCTGCTTTTATCTCTGCAGCATAATGAAGCAGCAGTAGCACCATAAACCAGTGTCCTGGAGCATTGTGGGGGAAAATTCTGAGTATATTTTTGCTGTCAGTTAAACGTGGGTTTGAACCTGCTCTCCAGTTCAGACTGCCTACAGGTCATGTTGCTTGCATGCAGCTGGGTGCTCTAGTATGAATTTGGGTGAAATTCTGATTCTCTAGTGGAGGTGTTCTTTGGCCAGCACACAGCAACAAATTTCCTTTTATCTGAGTTTTCTGATGGTCAGCGGAACTGGCAGCACAGCCTTTTGGAAGATAGCCTCACTTTGGCTCTAAGTAAGCACAAGGTGTTCTGAATCTGACAGCTACATAGCTGAGAGCTTAGTCCACTCTCAGCAAAATGGTACAAACATGTCTGGCTATTGTAGTGGTTTTATTAAGTTGGATTTTTTTGATGCAGGAACGAGACACAAGTGCAGAAGCAGTGACCATGCCAGTGCCCACTGGAGACCCATTTCCAAGGATATTTCACCGTTCTGAGATAAAAAGTGAGGTAAGAGCAGGACCAGCTGCTCTGTTCTGTCTTCATTAACTATTAAAACTTCCCTACAACAAAAGGCAATACATGGTGAGTGGTAGGACTCAGAATGCATGACTTGGCATGCTGGAGACGAGAAGCTGGCTCAGCATCTTCATGGCATTGCCTTCTTAGTATAGGTGAAAGTTCTCTTACAGAACTGTCATCAAATAGGTAATCTATACCCTACAGTTAAATAATATTGGAATCCTTTCAGTTTAGGAAAAAAGGCAGTCTCCTTCACATAACTTTAGTAAGTAGGTTCAAATCTGCCCTGTTGTTTTTGCTTTTCTTTGAGGAACAATCTCAGTGAATCTCAATCTCAGCCCACCAGGTTTGCATAAGTCTGTTCTAATTCAAGTTGCCTCTGATTCCTCCTGGAATGACACTTGAATGCAGTTGCATGGATTATCTTTTACAGTGTCTTGGATTTTGACGTAACATTTGTTCCAAGGCTGTAAAACTGAAACCTATGGCTGCTGTTGTCAGAATAGTTGCTTTAGTAGCAAGAGCTGCTAGCTGAGTGGGAATCAAATGCTGGGAAATTGAATGTCATTGATAGCTGTAGTTGTTTTGAAAAAAGTGTTTAGTTTGAAGGACAACTCTTTTGAGAGAAAAAAGTAGTACTTTTTAAAGCTACCAATTCTGTTTACCTGATGCAGGAGCGTACAGAGTAGCCATTAAATGTTAAGACTGCCTTTTAAGCTTCTTCTCTGGACTGGGGATATGCAAGAGACTTTTTGCTTAGTGTGCTTTGGATTTCCTGTGTATCAAGCTGTTCAGAGCCTTGGTCTTCTATTGCTTAGGCAAGCAGCACAGTAATTTAGTCAGGATTATTTTAGCACCACTTGCCCACATCTTACTGTGTAAATCTCTTCACCCTGGTGCTCTCTAATCACCTTATAAGAAGCCTTTTCCAAGCATGGGGTGAGCACAGTACAGTACAGCTCCATTTATCCTCAGAAATGCAAAGTATTCATCTACGCGGGGTTTCTAAGCAGCAGGAGATCTGGAACTGTTATGTTTGGTGATATTTTAGGTATACTTTCCTGGCCTCAATTCACTTATAATTAATCATCTTTTCTCTCTAGGTAGCAAAAACATTCATATGTTTTGTCTCCGTTCTAGCATTATCTGTATATTAAAATAGAATAGCACACATACAGAAAAGGGCAGGTGGCTGCCAGTAGCTTCTCCTGTGTCACATCCCAAAGTCTTTTTAAAAATGTCTTTAGGATCAGATCTATACGCTTGTTAGTGCCAGGTGTGTGGGGGAGTCTGAAGGAGAGTGGTGACACACAGTTCCTTGTTTGCAGGTGAAGGTGGGATCTGGAAGAAAAAGCATCTTTGCACAAAAGATGGCAGCAAGAAGAGCTGCTGAAAAGCCAGCAACAGCTCCCTCTGCTGAGTGCACTCAAATAGCAGCAGCTCCTCTGGACATTCTGAATCCTGAGGGATCAGCAGAAGAGGCACTGGAAGCTAACTCCGGCAACAGGGATAGTAAGTGTTCTGTTTATGGTAGTAGTAGATAGTAAGGTTCTGTTTATGCAGCCTACCATATTTCCATAGCTGTTACATTACTGCACCTAATCTTTAAATCAGAGAAGCGCTATTGTCCTTAGTTCAGAAACTGTGGTCACTTGGAAGATCTGTGACATGGCAAGGATTTGAAATGGCCAGAGATCCAAATTAACATTCTAGAGATAGAGTAGCTTTATTTAATTTTCTTTTTGGTTTTTACATTTTTCAAGGCTTTTGCTCTCCTTTTCCTTTGTTTTTCACATGTAAAATATTTCTTGTTTTGTCAGTAACTTTTGCAATTTTTGGAGAAGGATTCATCTTGTGCATGACCTCTTATGCAGGTGCCCATTCTTACCTACCTAGAAATTGAAAGCTCAGTCTTCCATCACTCAGTGCTCTGCCGTGAGACTGTCACATTGCTCCATAAGGAATGCTAAGAGGCAGCACTGATGAGTCAGTGCCACCTCCAGCAGTTATTTATCTGACAGCACTGTGACAAGGAAAGATGAAACCAATTCAAGTGGTACTGGCATCTTGAGGTGTGCAGGTGTCTTGGACAGTCTTATCTGTTTAGGACCAACATATGTCTGTCTTTTTCCCTGACATCCTCTTTTTCACATTGGAATGGATGCCAGATGTCATCTGAAGGTTTTCACCATTTGACTAAGGTTTCTGTTTATGCTGACCCCTCTCAGAGAATTGGTAAGAGAACCCTCAATCGTGCTGTGTGCGCACAAATCCACCATCCAGGTCCATTACTGTGTTTGCTATGTACCCTGTTACAATTGTACACATGTACTTCTGTCTGAGAAGTCCTTTGGGAAAGCAATAGTCCTCTGGCTGTGACCCTCTTGAAGTCAGAGAACACTGATAGATGTATTAAAACAACTGAGGCATCAGCAAATTGTGTGTCCTCTGCAAGATTGCTGGAGAAGAGTTTTTGAGAGAGGATTGCCAGAAGTCACAGAAGAAGGATAACCGTATTTCTTGTAGTGCCTGGTAACAATCAGGTGAATTGCTGAATGGTAAAAAATTTAGTGAATCTCTTACCAAACCTTTCTGTCTTCTCAATTCTTTTTGTTCAGTATGCAAGACAACTGCTGTGGAAATGACATCAGACCTTAGTGCTGATTGAACAAGAGTTTGATGTTTTCATTGGCTGGTTTAGGGTCACAGGGGTTATCCAGGTTGCTATATGGAGCATGTGAAAACCCAAACAAAACAACACGTAGAATAAAGCTACAAAGACAAGTCCTTGTACAGTGGGCCAGCAAGAGAGTCTTGCTCAGTTTGACCAGAGGAACATGTTATCCTACTGCTACAGTTAAATGAAATGAGTCTTTAGATCAGGTGATAAAGGAGACTGCATTTTGTTCAGAGTAGGAGAAATATCTGCCTTTCTGCAGCTCCTGCTGTGTTTAACCTTTAAAGGTGAATACAGAAAGTTGCTAGAAGAAAACAGGCCTATTTTGAGGGTGGATTCTGTATCACACTGGAAACTGGGCTACGTAGTACTTTTCATTCTCTTTCTTGCTCAGCAGATATCAGTTCAGGTCTTCTTGGGCAGAGGAGGAAGATAGCTCAAAATAATATCCTGATCTGTGAATTATGCTCAGATTTACCTTTTGTTGCTTTCCTTTAAAGAAACAAAATATTTTCTTCTCTGTCTCTCTCCGACTCCTAAAGAAACAAGAAAGAAGTGGTGTTTTATTGATACATGCGATGAAAACCTGAAAGCCCGGATCTCTTAATTTTGTCTCCACATAAGCTTCTTTACCCATTTTTTAATTTGGTTTTCAAGTTTTCAGTGCAGACTTGCTAATGACAAAATCTAAATGAGCTCGTAATGCTGTCGAGACTTAAATGACTAACTGCTTTATTTGCTGGATCTTTCAGATAAAGCTGATGACGTTTTCATCTCTCAGCGGCCTTGTATCATAACGGGAGAGGGTCTTGGAAGCCAAAAGAGTGAGCAGGAAGCTCAGGCTATCCATGAAGAGAATTTAGAGAAGCTGCAGTCCATGTCCCAGGAAGAGATCCTGAAGGAGCAGGAAAGGCTTCTGGCTCAGCTAGGTATGTGCTTCTTGGAGTGAATTCTCCAAGACATGTTCAATAAGCTTCCATACTTCTAGAAGTCTTGAAGTTTCAACAAATTTACAGATCAAAGGTGGAAGCTTAGGATCACTAGTCATTGCATATGGAGATAGCTGAACCTCCATCTCTTATCTTTATCATTGTGAATAAGAATCAAGTGTGAAGAAATTTGAGTACTTATTCCTTAGTGAGAGGGAGCTTAGTTGAAGACTGTCTCATCTTGCCTTTGCTGTGGAATAAGATGGTCCATGCACACAGCTACTTTGCAGATCTGATACCTGGCTACATGTATGTGTATTGAGAACCTAAAAGGTAATTCTCTGAAGCAGATAAGAAAGGTGAAAAAATATTGCCATTTAACTTCACTGCTTATAACAATGGCATGTGTATGAAAAAATCTTATTTTTGCTGTTTCATCTTATGACTGATTTGTGTGACCTTTGTTCCTTGTCTGTACTACTCAATCCCTAAGAGATTATACTGAGGCAAACACTTGGAGTTTAAAAAGGGAAGGATATATGCTAAATTTTTTTCAATTAGTTGACCTCAGCTTATGTGCTGAACATAAGCAGTTAAATGCTTCATTTGAAAACAAGTGACAGTTGACAGAGAAGAAGGGGTTTGTGGAATGGGATTCAAAAGACTAAAACATAAATGGCAGGACCTATAGATGTATTAGGTACTTTGAGGCTGACACTTATCTGTCCGTCTCTTTGTCAATATTTGCAGATCCCAGTTTAGTTGCTTTCTTAAAGTCACGACGCAGTGGTAATGTAGGCCAGAAAAACGAAATAAAAATGGAACAGAACAGACCGGAGGAGTTCGTGGAATCTCTGACTGTGCCTCAACGTGGTGTAGGAACGTCACTTTCCATGCAGGAGTCAGGTCTGCAAGAATCTGTAAGGAGGGATGAAAATCTGAAAATGGAAATCACAGGTAAGAGACATAGAACATGTTGTTAATGTTCTTAACGTAAATGTAAAGTTTTTTATGGTGTTTGCATCGACCCAGATTAGAGTTCTGTGGAATTGTTAATTTGTTAATTATACAAATCAGAATTTTATCATGATATTTAAAGATTTTTGAGCTCAAGGAAGAGCATTCTTCTTCTTTCTAGCTGAGCTCTAGATTAGAAGGATGATGCACTACATAATTGAGGTGGTGAGCCATGCAGTGAGAGGTCTTGCTTTATTTTGGAAACTTGTTCTGAGATCACTTGAAGGAAAATGTGTTTTAAAAGTAAGCATCATTGCTATTCTTGTTTAGTCATGTAAGCAGGGAAATAGAAGAGCGTGATATTCAAGCAGCACTTGCTTCTCACTAATTTCTTTTAACTGGGACAGTTGGTGGGTAGATCTCCCTGAAAAGACTCGCTGTTGTGCTCACAGGATAGCATGGAGATGAAAGCCCATTAAATAGCTCACATAGCACTTTTATCTTAATGACTGCTCCTGATGGCCCCACTGTGTGGCTTGTATTGCAGAGCCCATGCAAACATTTCCAAAGGTTATGGTTCTTTCTTTTGTATGCTGTGGATGGAAGGAGATGCTGACTTATTGAGAGTTCTGCTCTTTCAGAAGGATTGTACAGAGCTGTTGCATTTTACAATGATGTTCTAATACTCAATTTTACTATTGATTCTTTTACCTTGTATATTTTGATGATGGAAGAGTGGTAATGTGTCTAAAATGAAGATGTGGAAGTTTGTTGATGAGAATCTTTATCTTTGCCTTCAAACTGGCAAGAGACCTGAGTGTGTCTGTATACTCACTTTGATATCAGAACTGCATTCACTGAGGCTTGCATGCCTGTGAACCTCCATGATGTTCACATCTCTTATTTTCCTTACTAAATGGCACAAGGAGTCTTTGCTGGGTTACTAGAGGAGGATTTTACCTCTTGTTTAATAAACTACTTGTAAGTATTGACTTACTTCAGTTCTGCTAAGGAAGCCTGCACTGATGCTGTCTGTGTTGGATCTGCAGTTTCTATGCTTATGTGAGAAGAAAGCTGCTTTATTGCAGGCAGCTAGAACAATCTTTGTGTTCTTCATGACAGACCAAAGAAGCATTTATCCCTCGTGTTTCTCTTATTGTTGCTTTCTTCTCCGGGTTTTCTTCTTAGTGATAACATTAGGCTCCCATTCACATCTTCCAGAACACTTTTGTTTGTAGCATGTGTAAAAGAAGCATCTCTCCTTTATTAGCATGCTTTTCTTCCAATTTCATGTTAATCTTTGGCTGTTCTCATCTCTTGATTCTCTCTTCTGATGCATTCTTTGTCTCTCAGTGCAACATGCAGTATGATTAAAGAGGTCTCCAAATCTCTCTTGGATTTTAGCTTGGTGTTTGCAAGAGATAACAAGTGTTTACCATTTTCTTGATGAGAGGGATGAATCTGTGTGTGTATGTGTATACGTGTGCGGGAGAAGGAAAGATGATTAGCCTCGTACTCAAGAAAACACCTCACTTTTGCTGTTTCTCCCCAGGTCTTTGTTTTTCGTGAACTCACATTAATCAAAATAGCAAGCTTTAATGCTTTTCCCAGAACAATTGAGTACGCAAGTAGCATCAGATTAAGTGACTTTCTTTTACTCATAGGAGCAATAAGAGTGGGCTGTTTAGCTGTGGAGACTGAACAAAATTGTAGTAGTGCTCTTGGAAAAGCTCAGTGTACAAAATGTGTGCTGATAATGTCTTTTACTGCCCCTGCAAGACTGCAGACAGAAGAAGAAATGGAGTTTTCCCAGAATATTTGAAATAACAAAGAAAGAGTGATCTAGAACACTGTTAGGAAACCAAGGGAAGCCTTTCTAGCCCATCTTAACCCACAGGAGACATAAAACATTAATTTGACTTTCTAAAATAGTGTTGGGATTTTGCATTTTCTGGTGCTCGGAATTTAACTCATCAAAATAATGAAACAGAAACAGTAATTCAGAATTTCCTAAGGATAAGGATGATGACACAAAAGAACAGGATTGCTCAAAAGTCATACTTGCCTCTCTAATGAGATAGAAGGCAACTGTCTCTAATTAACAAGACAGTAAAGCCTTTCTTTATATAGCAACTTCTAATCTTATCAAATAGAAAAACAAATCCTGGCACCAAGACAAAAGGAAAAGCAAATAAGAAAAGAAGCAGTTGGTTGGTAGTCTTTAATATAATGTAACTCTGAAAAGTTCAGTACAGATTTTGCGTTCAAACTGTCAGCTTCTGTTTCTGTGAATGGTTTTCTCAGTAACTGAGCAATCTGCTGATGCCTTGGAATGTATATCTGTCTTTTCTTGTTGACAAGTTCATAATGCTACAGGCTGATGATAATATGCGTAATCCTATTCATAGAATGATTATCCAGTTTAGTGATTAATGGAGAAGGAAAAACAATTTGTTGAATTACAAATGTCAATAGATCTCCTTTTTTTTTCCTGTTGATTTTTATTTCCTCTGGTTTTGCATCAACCACCTACAGACATTCCACTTTCTTACATATCAGATGCTTTTTTCCGTCAATTAAAATGTGTGTTGAGCCTTTGGCTGAAATTCTGTGCAACAGCTTTCTGGCTGGGGAAGATAACTGTATACTTGGTTCCTTGCCTGACTCACTGCCACATTGATCATAAGGGTGAAGCTTCATCCTAGAAATGATGAGTGCCCTTTCTGAAAGTTTATCTGCTAATTGGGAGAAGGTAGAAGATTGGGTTTTCGGCCAGTTATCAGCAGGGAAATCTCTGATGAAAGAAGAGCATCTCAGTGGGACACTGTTCTTTGCAGTTGAAAACAAGAGCATTAGGATTAACAGCTGCAGTGCAAATGAATTCTGGTCTTGTTTTGCTCCAGTAGGAGTGATGATCGTGCTTTCCATGCCCTCAGTCTGCCTGCCTCTGTCAGTGTGTGTGATTTCTCTTGAGATAGCAAGGACTTGTTAGTTCTCTTTTCTCATACCAGCCCGGGACAGTTTTGTGCTAGCAAGGCATTACCTGTGCTAGCAGTTAGATCATTTCTGCTTAAATCTCTCCTGCCCGCCTACCTGTCATATTTTTCCATGTGCTGATCTTAGGGCAACTCTTGTGTTGTCAAGCAGAAATGTATTGTTTCTCAAATTGTTCTGGTCAGAACTCTTTAACAAGTTAAATCAATCATTTCTTCCTGTTGTGCCTTCACCTCTGAAATTCTTGTTCCCCATTTTTCCACTGGGCTGTTTCTCAGGCAAACTCTGTCAATTTTCCTCTTATGATTTTTTTTTTTTCTCCTCACAAGTTGATTTCCTCAGTTCTTTAGAGGGAGGCACAGAATGGAGAGTAGTACTGGAAATGCCATGGAAGTATGAGTGGTAGCACTGGTGTGCTCCTTTCAGTGTAACTAGGCTGACACTGCCCTGGCTTCTTTAAAACCATACTTCATGCCAGGCCAGTAATTCATTTAGCCTTCTTTGCATTACTACTGTTCTTGACTCCACTAATGCTCCCCTTCTTGAATGATACTCATTTAGTTGGCAAAAGTAGGACTGATATTATTTTCTGCCCTTGTTCTGATCGTTTGGCCTTATTTGTGTCCCAACTTTCATTCAGTTCCACCCTAATTAGCATTGTCTGTGGATTTTGTTACAGTGCTGCATAATTTCTAGCTCTCATGAAGGATGAAAACAGCTGTCTTTGATGTTTATACATCAATCAGCAGTTCATTTGAAAATTGTTTTCTCCTTATTTTACATGGATCCTTTATTTGATGTAGTCTTTAAGCCAAGTGGGCTGTCAAATAGGGAATAGGATTTTCTTCATCTTTGCTTTGGAAGGTAAGGCTGTCATTTTCTCTCCCAAAGATGATGATCTGCCTGTGAAGCCAAGGAAAGAATGGATTCACATGGACAATGTGGAGTTTGAGAAGCTGGAGTGGATGAAAGATTTACCTTCCTCCCGGCAGAAGAAAACTAAAAAGGTTTAAAAGCAGAAACTGATTTTTTTTTTTTTCTTGTTTGTGAAGTGTCTGGTTCATGTTTCTCACCAGTGACAATTTTGAAGTTTTCTTAAATAATCCCCTGGTTTGTCAATCTGAGAGATTTTGTAAGGCTGAGGGGTGACCCAGTGTAATCCCACCTTGTGGAGAACATGTGATCACTTTAGCCTCTAGTGTCAAAGAGAGCTACGAAGTGAGAGTCTGATAACTCACAGATGACCTGTAGTGAAACAAGTCTGAAAGCTAAGGAAAAAAAAAAAGTGGAGTAATTTTTTTTTTTTTAAGAATCTGAGATCTGATTTGGGGAGTTTATCAAATCAACTGCTAGGTGACACCGCAGAAATGGAATTTTATTTGGTGAATAGTGTAAGACAATAAAAACAATCTTTCTCTCCACCATTTTCTTTGTGCTAGGGAATGCAAGCTCGATTCAGTTTAAAAGGAGACTTGATTCCTGCAGATGCTGATTTGCCTACTCATCTAGGTCTGCATCACCATGGAGAAGAGGCAGAGGTAGGTGTAATGAAGCAGAAAGGAAAGAGCACACCCATTTCCATTTTCTGTGTTTATTTTGTCAGATTCCTTTTGTGTCAAGGTGTTTTAGTGACAAAAACCTCAAGAAAGTGTAGATGGATGGTTTCCTTTGGAAACAAGCTTCTGAAGAGAAGTTTAGTTGCCATGCACTAACTTGCTTTCTTTGTTTTCAGACAGCTTTCTGTTAATGCTTTTCTTCTTCAGTGCCATTAAGGATCTGTGGTGATGGAACATGTCCTTTTTTAAGTACAGTTTTCTCCCATTACATCGTTTATTGCAATCTCTTCTGCAGTTGATGTGAAACAGCTAACAAAACTGTGTTGCAATTTATCTCCTGTTATGCACTATTTACAGCAAATGTTATTTTAAGGGGTCTGTTTTTATCTGTACTTGGTTGTTTGTTGTTTTTTTTTCTTTTCCTCCCCCATTTAGAGGGCTGGTTATTCTCTCCAAGAGCTCTTTCATTTGTCTCGCAGCCAGCTTATTCAGCAGAGGACACTGGCCCTACAGGTTTTGGGTCGTATTGTTCAAAAGGTAAGTCACTTCCACGGAACTCCACCCCATAGCTGATATTTCCACTGCATCAGGGTCCAGATTCTCTGATGCTAGTTTGTCTTCTGTTTTAATACAGGTGAACAAAATCACTGACAGAGTGTTTCTTTTTACACCAAAGATCTCACTGCTAAGAAAAGTTACAGTGTTGGTACATAGCAAATTGAATTTCAGGATTCTCTGCGGGAAGAAGCTTTGCAGCTTTCAAGTGTTGCTCAGCAGCACTGCTGCAATTTATGTTCCTCTGTTTCTTTGGACATGAGTTATTTTTACGGTGTTACTTCTGTGACAAAAACTCACAATGACCCTTTAGTTCTTGTTGCCTGAGCCAGCTACATGATGTACTTGTTCTGTAGGTGGTGAAAATGAGCCAGCCTAATCTTACAGTGAAGGGCATAAAGCAATATGAATATTTACTTCAATGCGCTTTCCCACCTAACTCTTGGGGGAAGTGCTAATCTTCCCTCCAACAGCAGTGGAGGCTGAGATGAAGTAGCAGCATGGTTTTGAGAAGAAAGATGGGGCAGAACAGAATAAAGTCATAAGAAGTGTCCAGACATAAAAAAGAAAGCTTTTCTGCATTAAAGAACTGGAGTTGTGCCTCTCTAGAGAATGAGGAGAAGAGAAAATACAAAACAACTTTCTTAAAACCTCTTCTGTGGGAAACAACTGACTTGCGTAAAGCAGCAGCAGCATCATTATGGAATAGTTGTCAACTACTCAGAGACGGTGTTCCAGTATTGATCTAAGCAGAAAAGAACTTCTTGTCCTCTAAACCAAATAGGAAATATACCACAAAGTTACAGAAATACCATAGGAATGTGCAATTATTCTCTTAGAACTTTTCTTTTTTTCTTGGACTGGCCCTTGAGTCGTAGAATTTTAAGTGGGGAGAGATGTTTGCAGCATGCAAAGCAGGGTGTACATCCTGGCGGATTCCAGTTTGCACATTGTAATTGCACTTGGGATATGTGACCCTTCACTTATGCAGAGAGAATATGTAATGTAGAAGCAAGAGCCATTCATCAATAGGCAATGTTCCCTAGAAAGGATACCGATTCTCTCATTTATGTTTATGAGCTCTTACCAATTTGTTACCTGCTGTATGGGGCAGCGCTGGAATTTGGCAAATCTGCATCAATTAGTTATGTCCTGAAGTTAGGTAGCATGGAAGACTTCTAACTAGTGTAAACAGCAGGTGGTCAAAATATGACTCAGGTGCCCAGACTTATGGTTTTTAAGTGGATTTTCCTGCATTGCTGGCACTGTAGGTCTTTGAGGATCTTTGGAGTCTTAAGCATTTCTTCTGTCCTTTTATATCACTACTTTGGACTGAATGATATAAAATGTTTCTGTCCCTGTAGATGGTTCTACGCTTTCCTTGGAGGATTACCAAGTAGAGCAATTTGTTGTGCTGACTGCACAGTGTAGCTGCTTTACAGTAGAACTGGGAAGAGGCAAACATGCAGAATGTTAAATTGTACATAGTTGAGGTGAGATAGCTTTAACTTTATCTCTGTATGGTATACTTTTCAGGCCAGGGCTGGAGAGTTTGCTTCCTCCTTGAAGGGCAGTGTTCTGCGTCTCCTTCTCGATGCTGGATTTCTCTTCTTGCTGCGCTTCTCTCTGGACGATGCCGTGGATAATGTCATGGCAGCGTCTGTTGGTGCTCTCCGAGCTCTGCTGGTGTCATCTGATGATGAGGTGAGAAAATCATTACGTCCCCAGCTTTGGTTTCATTCTGAATCGTTTATAGAATCAGAATGAAAGGACAAGGTAAGTAACTTCTAAAAAAGTCTTGCTGGATGGGTTAGCTTAATGGTCAGTAGAGTGCTATTTCTGTGCTTTGGGACAGACAAAGGACTATATTATCTGTATTTGAGAGATTCAGTCCTCTTTTCTCCTATTTAAATTAGCTCTACCTATGATTAAATTCAGTGCAGGCTGTTGTGGGGGTTCTCTTCCTTCTTGACACCTTTAAAATCTAGAGCATGATACTTCTAGTGTATATGTACAATTTAGACGTTTTTATTTTTAATACAACCTCTTCTGTTGTTGGCTTTTTGCTATGTAGTTTTCCTGCTTCTGAACAAATTTGTGACTAAGTATTTTTCCTGCTTTGTCAGGCCTCACAGTAGTACTAGTCTCTCTCCATCATTGTCCATCATCTGTTGTTCTCACATACTTTTCTTTCACTACTGTATACCTATTTTTCCATTCTTAAGAGTTTATTTTCTCCTTGATGCTTTTTCTCTTGTTAGAAAGCTGAAACTTCTTTTGGATGTTCAGGGATACTGGACCCTGAACAGCAAGGTTAAAGAGTCTTCCTGGTTGGAAAGAAGCAGGCCGTTATGGGCAAAGCAGACTGTGGTCTGTGTTTCAAGTTCGTTTTATGTTAAGCTGCAAAGAGAATAGTGCTAGAAAAGAGTGGTTAGATCTCTAGAAGCCTACCATGCAGACCCAGAAATCGGAATAGAGCTAATAAATGTCAAATTCCAGTTTAACTTTTAGAGCCCTTGGTGGTTATTTATTTTTATCTTAAACATTTTTCAATTAAGCTGCATTTCTGTTCCTTGTCTAGTGAATTTAATTCACGTCACGGTAATTGCTTTTCATGATTTCCCAAGTGTCTGTGGGTCATAGATTAAAGTCACTTCTCTGAAAAGTCATTTCATCTACTTGTAAATGTTTAGAGTATACTTTGTGTTCCTATTTTCCTGAGTTAGGTGGAAATCTGTAAGGCATCCTGTAATTAAGTGTTCGTTTTTTTCTTTTGGTGATGATCTTTTTGTGAGAGGATTTTGTGCGTTTTTATTCTCCTCATAGAAATATCTTGATTGGACTTTCTCATGGTACCAAGGGATGGCTGCGTTCCCGTTTGTCCCCAGCAATGAGGAAGAAGAAGAGGAAGAAGAAGAAGAATCAACTGGAACAGAGAAGTCTCAGAATAAAAAACAAAAGGATGAAAACAAGCCAGATGCAGATGTAGCCCGTTATGACGTTGTAAAGGTAAGCACACAGCTTGGCCTGAAATCTTTCTGGAAAAAATAGACTGTGCACAGCAGCTGTGTGTGCTTTTGAAATGTGTACTCTTCTGTGTGTGTTAGTAGTGTTATGAACAAAAATTAGAACATTTCCGTGGCTGTTGGGTGTTAAGTTTCTGTCATACGTTATCAGTAGTGTGATTTTATTAACCTCTAAAAAATGGTGAGACTTGACCAGTATGATTTCATCATTAATTATCTCTAATTTCCTCTGGGGAAATTGGCAACAAGTATGCTGATGACCATGATTTGCTGAAAGATTGAAGACAGACATGATTTTCATGTTTGCTTACTTGAGCTAGAAGTGAAACAGTTCAGACACTATTGAAGTTAAGCAAGAGAATTACAGCTGGATAGTTCTGAATTAGAATGGTACAATGACAGTCTCTTTCCATTTGGTGCAGTGACTACTTAGCATTTCCCTAATATCACTCTTCATGTTGCATCTCTCAGAATGAATGTCACATATGCCAGGAATGTGAAGTTTAGCTTAAATATGAGATCTAACAACAGTAATCTTTGCCATCTTAAACTCCACCCTGCTGAAGCTGCTGTCGTTAAAGTCTGTAGTCACATCACTTAGTCCATGTATTCGAATGGCAAATGGTTATAAACTTCACTGGGCAAATAAATTACTGTACTTAGCTATCTGGTTTCAGTTAGTGAGTTTGTGAGTTCAGATTTGTTCTAATAGGCTATGCTGCTTAAGAGGCTTAACAAAAGAGATGTAGATAAGAGATGAGGTCAGTTTGTCACTCTGGAAACAGTTACGTGGTCTGAACTCAGAAGAGATTTGGCATAAAATTCTCCATTTTTCCAGCTGTTGTGAAATAAATTCCATTTCACACCTGCTAATTGGTTGTTACATCCCAGTTCCACATATTGGAAGAATAATATTTAAACAAGGAGCTGAATCCAGTCAAACATAGAGCTTCAGACTTGCCTGGCTGCAACTTTTAGAAGTATCAGTCCTATGAACTAAAGTGTTGCACCTTTTCCCTAAACTAGAAGTGCATAACACTATCACTAAGATTGATTCTTACCATAGTCACTGATCTTCTGCTCTGTGAGCAATACAAAATCACATAATCCATCTGCATCTGTCATTTCTTACAGCAGAATAGAAACTGGTATCTGTTCTCCACTTCTGTCAGCTTTCTCCAATGGGACAAGCACCATCAGGACTAAAGAAAAAGTACTGTGTTAGATGAAGGTGGTGGCTAGCCAAAATGAATCAAAAAGCACGAGAACCCTTTTCAACCACATTACATTTTAATAGTCCTTTGTAGGAGAGGTATTCCCTGTTACTTGCAGTTTCAAACTCTGGAGAACACAACTATCCAAAAAGTTCACTGGTGGTCTAATACAGAACAAAAGTTCAGATGTTCCTGCTCTGTTGGGCTAGTATATACTAGCTTGCAAATCTACAGAAACTTCTGTCTTTGTTTCCCCAGTGGTGATTTTAAGGCTTCCTATCTGCAAAAGATTTAATTGCATCTGCTTTTCCCTTCCTGCAACTGCTTCTCAGAGAGCAGTTAATAAGAGCATAATGAATATTTTTTTTCCTTTCAGGGACTTCTGAAGACACGGATTCAGCACCGGCTGAGATATATCCTTGAGGTGGTACGACCTGTTCCAACAGTTGTCCTGGATATCCTGCACATCCTTACTCACATAGCAAGGCACTCCTCTGAAGCATGCATCCAGGTAAATCTGTTATTGTACAGGAGGAATGGTAGGAAAAGATTTGAAAAAGGGAAGAAAGAAGCAGATAAAGTTATGACAAGGAGATAAGACAAACTTGCGTGTTCTGTATGTATGGCTACTGGAATTGCGTGCTTTCAGTTATTTGTGGTGCCTGCTATTTCTCTGCAGCTGCTTGACTGTCCTCGGTTGATTGAAACCATTGTCAGGGAATTTCTCCCTACTCGATGGGATCCTCATGTGGCTGAACCAGGATGTTTACTCACCAGTCTCCATGGAGTTGCTTGTGCTGCTGCTATGAAGTTCATCAGAGTATTGGCATCTGGAGGCAGAAATGCAACAGCCAGGCTGGTAAGTGATTATCAGAAGAGCTTTTCGGTTATCAAATACCATTGTTTTTTGTGCCTTGCTTCCTCACTAATGATGGATAATTAACTGGGGGTGACTAAGCTGAAGAACGTGATTCAGACCTGACCAGTACATATGAAACTGGGAGATATGTGGTCAGGGTTTCTGTTTCAGTCTCACTCTGAGGTAAAGGGAAGCAACAGGGCCACTTAAATGAGTAAGAGATTGAAGTATCTGACATACAGCTTTCAATCTTTCCCTGTAATTGTTTAAGCTTGGCAGTGGAAAGCTGGTGATGATGTGTGTTTTGTCGAGGGAGTAAAGAAAACAGCAAAATTTACCCTTTCAGTGGATATACTGATGAGAAGCAGCGAGCACAAGTTGAAATACAAGACAGTTAAAAATAGAAATTTAGTTCTAAAGTGAAAGTGGTGAAACTCGCAAACAGGTTGCCCAAGGAGGCTGCAGACCTCCCATCTGCGAAGAAATCCAAAATCTACTGGACCTAGCTCTGAGCAGTCTGCTCTAAACAGAGAGAACTGCAGTTTCCAGAGGTCCTTTCTGACCAGCAACTTCTGTGACTCTATGAGCCTCCAATTAGACTTGCTGGTGGTTCAAGCACGGTGTACCTCTTAACCACAATCTCTGTGAGGTTACCTCTATAGATATCTTCTGCCATTTGCAGGGAAACCTCAGAAATCTCTTGGAAGACAGAGTGTGAGCTGAAATAAAGGAGCCAAAATAATCCTTGTGAGGAAGATGTGTGTATGTGTTCTGAAGGAATTGTTGACAGTATTACAATGCGTCTTCTGTTGTATAACCCTAGGGAAGCTATTTCAGTCTTTTCTTTTCTTTCCTTTTTTTTTTTTTTTTGAGGTTGGAGGGAGGTCTGTGTAGTGCAGCTATGCAAAAATCACGCAGCACAGCTCAGTGATACTGGCCAGCATCAGATGCTTAGAGTGCACTTCAGCATGTATTGCTCTGTACTCTCCTGTGGCTCCAATGATAGGCAGCTTAGGACTTCATAAACCAGAGGTCTTATTTTTGTCTTCATGTTTTACAGCCCTAGTTGAACTTTCCTGCCATGAATTTACCTTAACATCTCAGGTTATTTGTCAGTATTTCCAGCCCCTCTTATCTACTTCTGGACAGGTTTTCCATTTCAGAGATAATTGTGTTCACTCATAAAGAGCATCACGCAGGTGCTATAAATACATAACATCAACTCAGAGCAGCACCCATTACAGTGTGCACGTCTGAGGTGTTTTGGTTTTCCTGCTATGCAGGAAATTACTAGCACCAGCAGGAGAATACTAAGTTGTGCTATAAAATATGTAGAAAAACGTGCTGATAATAGTGGGATATTTAAAGTTGTAAGTGGTGGTAGGAACATAACAGAAAATCTCTACATTTCATTCTCATTTAGATTTTGAGTAGTCCAGGTATTCCAGGCATGCAACCATTGTTTACAAGGTTCTTACCGCTCGGGGTTTGGTTCTGTTTTACTCTCATGTGACTTATTGCAGGCACTTGAACATGGGAATGGAAGATACTAAAAAACAAAATAGCGTAGGAATTTTACCTAAAAACAGAAATCTTCTATCTTCCTCCTCAGGAAGTAAATTTAACTTTGCCCTCTGTTCTGTAGGAGGGGTGTCAGAATTCATAGTTTGATTCATCAGCTCCTTTGCTTCTTGTGGGTGTGCAGTGATTTCCCAACGAGATGGCTCTAAAGCATTTGAATTTCAAATTATCTGTAATGTGTCCTTGTGTTGTGAGAAAGACATTGTTGGTGCATTTGTTTAGACAGAGCACACATAAGCTCTTGTATGTGTGGGAGAGGGAAGGAGAAGCTCTTTTCTATGGTTAAGCAAAAATATCCAGTTGTTGGGGAGGATAAAAGTTATTTCTAGAGAACTGCAAATGAGTCATGTCAGGCTTAATTAAATACTAAAATAACCTCAGAACATTTTCAAAGCACTAAAATTCTATATTTTTTAAAAAACTAATAGGTAGGAGGTACCCTTTTTGTAAAACAAACAAAGAACTATAGAATGATTCAGGTTGTATGACCTCTAAAAGCCATCTAATGTAACCTCTTAAGAGGAATGCAAGAAGCCATTCAGTGATTTTTGTGTACAGTGTTTTTGATAAGATAAATTTCAGTGTAATCTTGACTACTGGAGTTCTACTTATGACTAGTTAGAGTAATTTTTGTTTAAAAGTTAATGCTGCAAAGAGTCCCTAAAACAAGAGTGTGGGGGGGGCTAGGCAAACGTCTGTGGTTTAAGTGTACTCTTTCTGTGGAATGGATTAGATAACACCCAGGCATCTCTTTCAGGGATACATCCATCTTAATTGCCATTGATGATTTAGTGACCCTTTGTAGTACGTTCCTTAAGATTACACAAGATGAAGACAGGTTAGAACAGTGCTAGGGGAGTTTAGAATAAAGTGCAGTAAAATCTGCAGTTTTTTTGGTGTGTCAGGTTAGCGACTGTTGTAATACGTATGAGTGAAGTCTCTTATTCCTTGGTTGTGTTTTGATCTTTGTTTATTTGTTTTCATTTGTTTTGCAGCTTAACAAGTTTGAAATGAAGAGCCGGTTAATTCGATTTACAGCTGAAGATCCGCAGGATCTGCTTCTGCCAAGGGAAGAGGCCATCAGACTGAACACTGAAGCCTTTCGGCTCTGGGCAGTGGCTGCTGGTTACGGTCAGGCCTGTGACCTCTACCGGTACAGTCCTAAGCTGGAGAAGTGGAAATGGTGGGGGTGGAGAGCACAACGGAGGCATCATGTTCCTGAGGGTTTAATTTGGGATCTCTAGAATCAGTTGCTACTCCCTTCAGGGAGTCTTACCTCCCTTCCTCTGGCCTCCTGCAGTAAAACTCAGTTTCTGAAGGTGTTAGCGATGAGTTCTTTTTCTGGCTCTCTTTTATTTCTTATGCTTAATCACTTTTAATTTATTGTTTCTTCTCTGTCCTGTGGGATAAACCTAATCTTTTTAGGACTACATCTTTTTTCCCCTCAGAGGCTTTTGAATCAGCTGTGCTTGTGTGACCTCAAGACATGCTGAGTGCAGCAGATCTAGGACTGAATCTGATGTGCTAAAGGTAGTCTGGGTAGCAGTCCCCAGCATGTATGGAAATTGAGGCAGACTAATGTAGACAAACTCTGCATCATGTCTCAGTTCAGTACAAAATTCAAGTTCTTGTACTTGAACTTCAAGGTCTGCTCTGGAATAAATCTAACCTTCCTTGAGCATTGAGTCTTCCTTGAAAGCATGGAGATAGCTGTGGAGTTCCCCTGAAGAGGAGTGGAGGAGAGGCCAGTAGTACTTGTTGGAAGTTGAATTGTTGGAATTGTTGAATTGTTGGAATTGTTCTCTTTGCAATAGCATTTTGAGCACAACAATGTATTGGTTAAGAAAGTAAAACGCAGTATGTCATTTTTTAGCATTGTAGATAATACTGAGAAAAGAGAAACAGCAGAAGATTGCTTGAATTTGCATTATTATAAGTATGTATTCTCTGAGTATTTGAGAACTAGAGGAAAAAAAGAAGAAAATATTTGGTGTTTTTTCAAGAGTTGGTTGGAATGTTTGGAAGCAGGGTAGATTCCTTTCAGTTGAGTTGGAAATGATAGAATTCTTTGTCATTTTTTCCATGTCTGTTGATTATTCTGTTTTGGGGATGTTGATGTTTCTCATCTTGTCTTAGCAATGTGCAGTGAGAAGGTGTTCAGGGAAAAAGGGGCCAGGTCCTCCCGGTGATAGCAGGAAAAGTACAAGGAGCAGTGGTTACAAATCAAAATGAAGGAAATTTCTCTTAAGTATAAGGAAAAACTTCTACTGTGGAGATAATCACACTGGAACAGATTTTTCAGAAAGACTGGACATCCTTGAAGATACTCAAAACCTAACCAGACATGTTCCTAGGCAAACTTGCTTTAGCTGACTAAGCTTGAACAGGGCATTGGACTACTTCCAACCTCATGTATTTTGCATTTTACACCATAGGGATCTCTATCCTGTGCTGGTGAGGATACTGCAGTCCCTGCCTGAGTTGCTCAGCACTAGCCATGAGAAGAACCCCATGTTTGAGTTATCTGTCCAGCGAGCTGCAGCAGTGGTTACTCTGCTGGTACACGTGACGCAAACTGCAGGCTGCACGGTGGAGCTGCACACCAGGCTGAGCAGGTAGGGCCTCTGTCACCTGTTTTGTGCATCTGAGCAGTTGTCTTGTATTCTCTTCAGTTAGGAGACCTGGCTTTACCTTTCTCTATTCATTCATTTCATATGGTGTACTGTCCCACATGTGAATACCTGCATGGAGGGATGTGTTGCTTTTGACACGAGGACAGAAGAGGTAGATTGAAGACTGGTAGATAGCTGTATGCCTGCTAGCCTGATAAGAGGGAGGGGTAAAAAATCTGCATTTAGCAATGCATTCCTGCCAGAATGAGCTGAAGAACTCTTTTGACTTTTCCTTCAGGGAAAAAGGAAATGATCTCTCTGAGGTCTGGAGGAAAGTAACTGTGGAGAACAAGGTGAATCAGAATTAAGAAAAGTGGGCTGTGGGTTTGCTAGTTTTATTGGATAATGGGGTAAAACTAAAGCTTATCTAAGGAGAGAGTAATGCAGGTGAAGAAACTTTAGTTTTCACGTATAGTTTCTCATTTGACTTTTCTGTCTAAAATGATTTGTTCTTGTCTCTGGGAATGTGCAAAGTTGTTTTTCCCCTCGTAGCTGTCATTAGTCATCTGTCTTCCATGCTACATGTAACTAGAAATCTTGCTATTTAAATGATATTTTAGAGAGAATTGTTTTCAAGGCATCCTCACTATCCAGTGTCATTCTTCTGCTGTGTTTCAATAATAGCTGTGAAGACAGTGAACAGATTCCACCTCCTCCAGTAATGTGGAATCAAGTGTCAGGCTTACAGCCCTTTCTGGAGACCAGCATGAAAAAATTCCTGCAGGTGATATCTTGGACAGAAACTTGGCAAATTCTTCAGCCTCTGACCACAACTTATATGATCTACCTAGGAGTTTATTACAGTGCTTGCAGTCAACAGGTAAGGACAGAAAAACATAGCTTGTCTTTTCATGTCACCGGTATCAGCTTCTGTATTACCACTGAAAACCTGGAAAAAAGAAAGGAAGGCTTTGAAGAGCACAGATGAGGACTAGATGTTGTTTGCCACACCTGTTACCTAGGCTGGGTGCTGATCTTTCACACTGGCAATGCCAAATGTCACTGTCTTAATTTCTTCTGCGCTTGGAGTCTCAATCAAAGAGTGTGGTAGTGCAATGACTCATTTGATTTACTGCAGAGATACCCAGCATGCAGTAAATATGACCTAATTCAGTTTGGCAGTCCTTCCTCCTTGTAGGCTAAATTAAGTTGCACATTTTTGCATTTGGGATAGTCTGAGATCCTGCATGTAAACAGTTATTGCAATAACCTTGTAGGAAGATTGAACATAGAGGATCATACCATATGAACTTTGGACAGGAGGCAATAAAGACGAATTTCAAGATGTGGGGATAATTTAATGCCTACATTTATTCAGACCTCTCTAACTCCTCTGAAATTTGCCTGCAACAAATGAATTTATTTGCCTTGGCTAGGGTGGAAACTGCCCGTGTCTTTCAAAGATATCTTCAATTCTCCAAAGGTAGTTAGCTCCTTTGACCTGCTGTCATTAGGTCCTTAGTTTAGCTCCATTAGTTTTCCTGGACTACTAAGGGTAACATTTAGATTTTGCTGACTGATTTCTGGAGTCAGCTTTCACCTGGGGGAAAATCAGATTTTGCAATGAGTATTTCTCTAACAAAGGCAAAGTATAGTGAAAAAAAAAGTGCCAGCCTGTTTGTTCAATCTGGAATATTGCTTACTAGGGTCAGAAGAATTTGGACGGTTCTCTTAAAAATCACAGATCCTCCCCTGTGCAGTGTTCATCCACAGCCTTGTCTTGATGGGTAGGTCAATTGCACTCTATACAGCTGAATGTTATTATTTTTATTTTTTTATGCAACCCTCACGATGCCAGTCTGTTTTCTCCAGGTAGTTCTGATCACCTTTGTGTTTTCTTCAAGTTAAATGAAAAGATCAGCATATATGTAGAATGTTAAGAAGTGGGGATGTCAACCACATAGAACAAATTTACATTTAGGGAATTCTGCTCCCAAAGATCCCATACCTTACTTCCAGCCAAATAAGAGTTCTCTCTGATGCATTCTAATACTTGAGTATGAGGACACCTTGAGGTGCCTGCTCTCAGCTTTCATACTCTCAGCAGTTAAGCTAGCTCTAACCTATAGCAGTACTGTTATGTAGATGATGTGGTGTGTCATAACGATATCAGAAGAGAATGTAACTAAATCAGTGTGTATTTTTGCATTCCTCTGTTTTCCCTTGTTTTATGCAGCCATCAGTCAATCCAGTTGACTGCTTAGAGGAATTGGAACGTTTGACATCTGAGGTGCTGCAGCCTCTGCTCAGCCAGCCAGCCATGCACAGCATGTGGGATTTGCTCAGGTAAAATTATTTCATTGCTTCATTTCTATACTGTACTGCGTGGTCAGGAGGGCACGAAACATGGTGGTTCCAGGGGCTGGGAATCCACTCACAGCAAAGAAATTTTCTAACATTGGCCTAGAATACATCAGAAAGTATAGTTATGCTTTAGATGATTTTCTCCCTTCCCATTTATTTACCATTTACATATGTACCTCATATGTGTGATACTGAAAGCTGGATGAATTACAGTGCAGGCTCTGTCTACATCCCTTCTTTGTCCTTTCTCCCCTCACAACACAAAGCATCTACTGCAGAGGTTCTCCAGTTCTTCCCTGCCTACTGATACTGCTGCAGTGCCTGCTTCTCTATGTAGCTGTGTTTTACACCAATTTCTAATAGATTTTATTCACTCTTGGCTTTGATTATTTTTTGGTTTCCCTGATTTAAAAACAAGAACAAAGCAATGTCAATTTGAGCCCTTATATCAGTGGGAGTGCATGCACCATTCACATGCTGTGTATGAACTACTTTTATAAAACAATTTAAGTTCTTGCAGAGCTCCACAAAGGCCTTGAAAGCCCCTGCAGGAGATAAAGTGAAAGGCTGGATACCAAATTGTCCCTTCAGAAATTTGGATAACATAAATTTGGTCTCAGGCTCTGGGCACTGTTCAGTGCCGTGGATGTTCCCTCTTTCTGCTGTAGAGGGAGCCTCACTACCACCCTACAATCAGTTCTCTGAGGAGGGGTAAACTGAGAAGTTTGACTTGTATTATGGGAAACGTCCACTCTTACGTAAGGGACACTGGAAATTGTTGATTTGAAATGATATTTGAATGCTCACCGATCTGGCTCACGTTCCTTCATGACTGAGAATTGAGTTCTGAAGCTTCTAGCACCAAAATTTCTGATGCACAAGGCAGCATTTTTTGCAGTGGCAGTTTTAGATATAAGCTGGCTTTTTCGCTTTGCCTGTCTGATGATTTTTGAAATGTCCAAAGTATGTGGGCAGCTTTATTAGCCTGGATTACATATGCATGTGGGGAAGTGTGTGTTTTTTTAATCAAGGTCCAAAGCTTTCAAATGTTTGACATCAAAGATGCATCATTGCATCAATATTTCTACACATCATGAACAATATAGCTGGAAACTAGAATCTGTGACAGCTCACTGGCATTAGCTTCTATGTGACAGTCCTTACTTGACCAACTGTTGATACTGCTTTGGTTTTTTTCCTTTCAATTTCACAGTCCTTGTGGCTTTCATTTTGCCGCAATGTGTGGCATGGTTTGGATAGTAACATTCCTACAGGATAAATTTTCAGTAATGTGAATGCTTTTGTGCTTTTGACCTGATCTCTTTCATTCTGTCTTCACACAGGCCATGTTCTGCTCTGTGCAACCCTCTGTCCTGTTCCCCAGCACCTGAATCTGTCTTCAGCATTGTATCTTTGAGTTGTACTGGAGGCAAACCTCCTCTGAGCCTAGTTGGCTCCAAATCACCTTTCCCTTTCCTCACTGCCCTCCTATTTCTCATCGATAGCATCACCCATATTCACAAAGGACTAATCAGCAAGGTGAGAATATGCTTTTTCACTCTGAGTTCTGTGTGAATAATAGCGTGCTTTGGAAGGAGATCAGTATTTGTATCGTCCCACGTTATTAAAATAGAACTGGTGTATTTTTAATGTAAAAATATCAAAGTACTTTGGAGAGAAATACCTTCATTTTCAGAACAGGCAGTCTTTGAATTCCCATATTCCGTTCATGCTGGGAAGCTGGGATTATAGAGCAGGTGCCAAATGATGATGAAGCTTAAAGGATGGAGTTATAAAGTAGATTGAGAACAGTTAAACAACTGTTTGGCTGAACTAGTGTCAGATAACAAAAGAGGGATGGTTGAAGGATATATTACAAGGAAAAATGAGGTCAAACTAAACGAAAGACGAAATTTCTTCCTTCTTCTGATGTTGAACACAGGTGTGAGCGCTGTGGCAGAAGGACAGATATTTCTCAGGCCCTTTCTGAAAATCTTACAGCAGCCAACAGGAATTCTTAAGGGGGATGGTAGACTGATGGTATGGGATGGTAGACTTCAGAGAGGACTGTTCTGCTTTCCTCCAAGTGCAGACTGTGTTAGTAATATTTGTCTCCATTTCTGTTTCCTTTATAGTACAGCTCTGTGCTGAGCTTTGAAGGCCTGAAGGATTATCTGCATCAAAGCTGGCAGACTGCACCCCCCTCAGTAACTCTCGCATCTGCATGGATGCTGCGCCATGAGTATCATCTGCAGTACTTTGCTTTAGCATTGGCTAGGAAAATGGTATCCTTAATGGCTCTTTCATTTCTTTCACTCCTGGAGTTGATTTCACTTTAGTTTCTCTAACTCTGGCAGCTGGTCTTTTCACATAGCTGATCTAGATTTGGTTTTCTGCTATCTTGACTGTGCTGCCCCATAAGCAAGTAATATCTTTGTAGTTACTGACATGAGGATTTAGATCCAAAATACTTCAGATGGCAAAATTATTTTTGTCTGTCTTTGGGCTAGAGTGAGAACAACTTTTCTAGCAACTCTCCTGAAAGATGTCTGTGTGAATTCTGATCAAGAATGTTGTTCTTGCAGTCCTCTTCAGCCTGTCACTTTCCAGTGAGATCTCTCCCTCAGCTGCCTCCCCCTCCCAGTCCTTGCTGATGGCCTTGTTGACAAACAGTGGTTTTATCTATTTCTTTCCTGTGCAGGCAGGCACTTGTCCGGATTACAGCCGTCATGCCTCGCTCTATCACTGTGTTGCCATGGCATTGCTGAGCCGTCTGTTGCCTGGGAGCGAGCATCTGGCTTATGAGATCCTGCTGGATCTTGCCTTTAGTCCAGAGTTTCTTCCGTAAGCTGTGTTTCTTTTTGGGGGGGTTGTTTTCTTTAGTCTGGTACATGGGAAGACTTGAAAATGATGAAAAAGCAGATGCTGGCAAAGGAACTTGGTCGTGTTTTTTGACCTTCAGTAGGGCTTGTATTCAAATTTGAGATGCTCACTGGCATATTCTTAAGTCATGGAGCCTCCTAGTCAGTCCGGAAATGTGGTCGTAAATTTATCTTGGTTGTATCCATATTGAGAAATATGACCAGTTTCTTTTGATCCCCTCAATGGCAAGAGTCCAGTGATTTCTGGTAGAACTGATTTTCACTAAGGTCCAGCATTTACTGCACTGATGGAAGCAAGTCTAGGAAACACATGGGATCCTGATCCATTCTGAAAAAATTACTAAACCTTCCTTTTAACCCTTACTATACAAATTCTTACACAATTTTTTTTCTCTTATTTGGTTATGATGTATTCTACCTCCTACTAGAAATAATATGGAGCACCTCAAATGTGACACATCCTACATCTGGCCAAGATGGTAGCAGTTTATTTTGTTCCTCACAATCAGTTTAAAACTTGAAGTGGTGCAGCTTTGTAGGAGATTGGACCAGTGTGCTGCAAAGAAATACCATACGTCTCTAGCAAATTTTCCTTTAAAAAGGAAAGCTTCTCCACACCCCCTACTCCTTGCAGATATTTGCTTTATGGCATTTTGCATAAGTTTGGCAAGTAATCCGAGACCATGATAAAGTCTGATGTGAGACTGTGGCACACAAGTTTGACAGCCCCTCTGCCTTAATTTCTGTTTGTCAATCTGTGTGGTTCTTTTGACTGTGCAAAGCTACCAATGTGGGAGTTGTCCTGTTGACTCAGGGTGGCCTTACATGATATACAGTATTTCACTTCAGCACCCTGACATCTGTGCTGGTAAGTAGGTTGTCTCCCTGGACAGGGAATTGCAGCCTCCTCACCAGACCACTGGCTTTGTGTGGAAGTTTTTCATATAATGCATTTGTGTTGGTAATTCCAAGTGTAGTTCTGTGAATTTCCTGTAGATATCAAGATAGTTGATGCTTAATGTATTTGGGATTTTCTTGACTGATATTTGCTTTTATCTTACAGTGAAGGGAAAACTGGAGGACCAGAAGCAGCCGACTTTTCTGATATCTTGCATCTGGGTACCAGCGCCAAACTGTCACAGCCTGGTTCTGCAGCAGCATCATCTTCAAAGCCTACTCGTGGTGCCCTGCTGAGAGAATCATACCAGAATCTGCCTGCCATCCGCTCCTGCTACCTCTCTCATTTTGTTCACTTGCAGCCTGCCCTTGTGCGTTCCCAAGCATCCTACCAAGGACGTAATTACCTCATCCAATCAATGCTGCTTCCTGAAGTCAGAGGGCCCATCCTGCCTTCAGACTGGCCGTTCTTTCCACTTATCAGCCTCTACAACAAAGTGTCTAATGCAGAGACGCGTGGGGCTGTGCTGAACTCTCTCCCACTTGATCTAGTTAACACTGTGACCTGGAACCTTCAGTGGGTCTTGTTGCTGGAAACTTGGCGTTCAAAAACCCTTCAGAGCATCCCTACTGCTGCCAAACTTGCACGACTTATGTGCATCTTCCTCACAGGTGGTGACCTCTTTCTAGAAGCACCAATCCACTGTTACACGGCTGCACTTCTTTCTGTGTATTGCCAGCCTAAGGCTCTGGACTCCCTGAACTTGGATGCTCCGCTCCCTGGTTTAGCGTCCTTCCATGATCTCTATATAAGTCTGCTGGAGCAGTTTGAAGGTGTCTCTTTTGGAGATCCACTCTTTGGAGTCTTTGTTCTTCTACCTCTGCAGAAGCGTTTCAGTGTTCATCTGCGTCTTTCTGTGTTTGGGGAGCACACAAGTATCCTGCGGGCACTGGGAGTGCCCCTTCAGCAGGTAATCACCTTGGACTTGGAGAGGGAAACAGTGTTATTGATTGTAAGTCTGGAGAATAGTGTCCAGTTCCTGTAGATTGCCCTTGTTAAATCTTTCAAGAAATCTTTCAAGAAAGATTTTGAACTTAGTTTTGAGAGCTGATAATACATATAATGTGAAAGGTGGGAGCTATGAGATTGTTCAGTCTTCAGTGGACGCTGTCCCACGTCCTGCTTGGTCTAGTGGCTGAGAAGCTCCTAATTTATGACTTCTATGTATGAAGGGCTAGTCTGCGCCCCATGCTCTTCTTGCATGAGTTACTTTTTCCTTAACTCTTTTCTCAGCCTGGTGAGAATCTGTTCCTATGCAGTGTGTGGGCAAACACACATTTTTCCTCTCAGACTGTTTACAGTTGGCTGTACTGGAGTTGTGCTTGACTGGGTCACTAGGTGAGAAAGTTTTATCTGTGAAGTGCAGGAGTGCATTTCTTTTGAATCAGCAGAGCAAAAAAGATTGAATTCAGCTGGCTTTAAATTCTTTGTCACTTGCAAAATAACAGATGATGCCTGACTTAACCTAAAGTTTGCTAATACAAAGACAACTTTTGAAAAAAAAAAAAAAAAAAAGTGAATTAGCAGTTTATGTGCTTTGCCTCACGTGATTGCAGTGCTTGTGTTCTGGTTGTAGTGGCCCTGCAGCCAGTTCTTCTATATTGTTATGGCCAGATGAGTCTTTGTTTCTTAAGTCAAGGAAGGCAAGGATCTCTGGCCTGGTTCTTGTGGTAAGCTCTCTTGGCGCTTGTGGTGCTTCCAGTAGCCCTTCCCTACGTGTGTTTCGTAAGTATAGGAGCAAAATTACTTTAGGGGGAGGTGTTTTTTTTTTCTTTTATTTTGTCTTAGGATATGTTTAACTTACCTTAGTGGGCAGTAAAAACTTTGCCTTTTTAGCCAAAGGCTAAGTTCAGCATAGATGCTGTGTTTTCACTGAAGACTGTTGCTGAACTGAGTAGAATCAATGATTTTCTTTATCTTGCAAAGAAAATACTTCAAAGTGAAATATGTACCATTAGATCTAGAGAACTTGTGAAAATATAGAAGAAAACTACTTGGACTTTGGAAGAATGGAGAAGTGAACAAAATCGAGTTGTTATTAAAAGTGATTCTAACCTATTTTTCAAAGCTAGACAGTGAAGTCAGAAAATGTTGGAAGGTTAATTTAACAGCAGCATTAACTCTGGCATATATATCTGCTTTCCTTTTCTTGCTAAATGCATAGGCTGTTGTAAGTCTCTCTGATACATTAGCAGAAAATATAGTGCTTCTGAAAGCACTTTGTCTTTTCACTTTGAAACACCTTTTCCTACCTGTGCCAAAAAGCAAGTACCGTCACTTGTCTGCTAAAACACTTATCCATAACGCTGAAGAGATCTCGAGGACACTTTGTCAGAGGCATGTCACATCAGTCAGCATGGTCCTGCTCCAAATGGGGATTGTGCCACTGAAATGTATTATGTTATATGGCAGCATGTGTCTTAATAGCTGGGGAAGTCGTCACTGCTCAGATTCTGCCACAGAAGGTAATGTTGCCTTTTGGGTGGATTTCTTGCAGTTTCCTGTGCCTCTCGAGCGATACACTTCCCCTCCTGAGGATAACTTGAACCTCCTGCGACATTATTTCCGAACACTGGTCACAGGTGCACTGCGCAACACCTGGTGCCCTGTTCTTTACGTGGTGGCCGTGGCTCATGTGAACAGCTTTATTTTCTCCCAAGACAGCACAACTCAGGTAGGTAAGGAATATCAGTGCTTCAGAGCTGGGAGCTTTGGATTTTGCACCTGGTATTCCCCAGCATTCATTGTGGTTTGTTGATGAATTACCCACCTTGGACTTGAAAACAAAGATTATAAGTATGTGTAGAGGACTGTGCAGTTGTCTGAGATGTGAAATTTGGAATCCACATAGGAGACAGTAGACAGCCACTGTTGTTTGTAATATCCTAAGAAGCTTGCACTAATCATAGCCAATCCTGCAGAAACAGAATCTAAGCATCTGTGGGTGAACGTACAAAAGGAAAGAATGAAGCACGTGTAATGAAATTGCTGACCACGCAGAGTAGGCTTGTAATAGTCTTAGCCTCTGCCAGGGACAGTATGGAGCGTTTTTTCCTTTCACCTTCTTTGAGTAACTCACTGCCTGAGTTAACCAAGCAGGAGCCCTACCATGGTCTCAGATCTCTAGCACTGTTTCCTCCTGCTAACTCTTTTCTTCCCTGATCTACGATTCTACTTGATTGTTGAGCTGTCAACAAGGAAAGGAGGAGAGGGAAGGACCCAAGTGGTTGCCACCTTAAGGCTTTTTTGATAGAGCAAGCTGCTCTTTGGACCATCATCTTAATAAGTATAGCATTATTCTACAGTGCTGCATGGCCTGTGGGGAGTGATGGCATTGTGCCATATTAATTGAAGTATATGTTTTGTTCTTAGGAGGCTGATGCTGCTCGGAAAAGCATGCTGCGAAAGACTTGGCTCTTGGTGGATGAGGTAAGATCTGTAAGGATCAAAGTGCACCACTGAGGCTATGGTTTTTCAGGCATGGTACTCTTACAGATTTGCATTTTGGCTTTTGAAATTGTTGTTTATCTACATTGCTAACTTGAGAATGAGAAGATTAGCAGCAAGATTTTAACATGTAGTAGCTACCAGCAGTGTTATCTAGTTCTTGTTACGATTAAACTCAACACAGTGAGCCCTCTGGAACATAGATTAATGATTCTATGAATTTCTTCTACTCTATTTCCATGCTTCTTGCCTGAGCAGTGTTTTTTCTGCATAGTGATAGGTCCTACGGGGCTGGTTCTAGCACAGTTATGAACAGGCAGCCAGCATGGATATCCCTTAACATTTAGTTGGATGCTTCCCCCATAGAAGAACAAAACAGATATTAAGTTTCTACTTTTCACCTTTCCTTCCTGCCTTACCATACCAGATCTTGCCGAAATTTATCATTTGTGTAACAGAGCTGTGTAATTTTGCCCTTTGTGTTTAGTATTTCAGTCCATAAGTTCCCACTCAAAACCCCATTTGGGCTTCTTGCAGGGGACTTTGAGAGAGATTGTTGTGGAGAGAGTTTAGAAGAGGAAAACTCATGCAAATCAAAAGACTTTCTTGGAAGAAGCTTGTGCTTTTATAGCTCTTCTATTGAAAGTGTTGCAGTTAAATATGTTGGATGTGGTATTTGTATTGTCTGTCTGGTTTACTTTGTTGCGTCAGAAGTAGGAGAAAAGATTAGATTTGTACTTCTAAGACATGTCTAATAGCTTCTATTTCTCTCTTCAGACCTTGAAAAAGCACCTTCTCTACTACAGACTGCTGAATGCAGAGAGCCCTTTGGGCTTTGACCTTTATGAGCAACTCCCTCCTATACGACTGAAGTACCTGCAGATGGTGACGCAAAAAGACAATAAGGAGAACGCACCAGTGCTTGTCTCATAGCCAAACACTTGTGGAAGAGGACAGTGAGGGGAAAGAGCAGAAGAAAATTATGCTCCACTGATGAAAATATGCACATTTCAGATTGTTAAAGTGTCTTTCTTTGGCACTCTTGGTATCTCTGCAAAGTGAAACACTGATAGAGTGCTCCCAGCCCTACTGTACATATCTTCTCAAGATATGGCAATACGTGTATGTGGTCTCTTTCTTATGAATGCTAGAGCATTTTCCAGAGTTCTCTTTCAGATTGTTCTGCTTCATCGTGGAGGAGGTGACAATGTGTCTGAGAGGCACTGGACTGATGAATAAACAAAAAGAACTGGAAAAAAAAAACAAACAACGTTTCATTAATTCCAACAGGAGATTGTGAATCCTTATGATGATGTCTGTCTTCTCGGGATCTTTCTATTGCTTTTTTGTGTCCTGGATTCTGAGTGGTTCCTTTCCCCTGCAGCTCCCAGCAAATAGAATGATGACACAGGAGGAAAAAACTGATTCTTTGAGGGGTTTTTTTGTTTGTTTGTTTAATTTTGGTTCTCCAAGATATTTCTTGAGGATTGTATTCTGTGCATGTTATCAGTCTGATTCTATTGTGTCATACCTCTAACAAATAACAGATCCTGATGCAGTGGTATAAACACTGGTCATTCCACCTTGGTTGTCTTTTGGATAGCCTCTAAGCTGCTTTCTTTTCTCCCTTATTTAGTTACACATATAACAAGATCTGAAATAATTTTGTTCTAGGCAGAATATTAATCACTCCCCATTAGAGGAAAAAAAAAAATCTGATTGTTTAACTAAAAGGTTCATTGTTTCCCTTCTGAGGAAAGGGGAATGTAATTTAAATTCTGAAGTAATTTAAATCCTAAGTTTACATCTTTGTTTTTTCTTCTTAAAAAAAGCTTATTTGATTCCAATTTTACATCCAAATTCAGTACTGCAGCCTCAAACACAAGGGCTACAGAAGTGCCCTAGTGCCCTAGAAGACTCATCACATATGCCAGGTCAAGCCCAGAATTTACTCTTTAAGTGTAATCTGAGCGAGGTGGATGTTTCATTTATATCCAGTCGTTCTTGTAGAACTACAGTCAGTCTGGCAGGCTTTTTGGAGAACTTCTATGAACAAAGCTTGTTATTTCTTTTCTGTTGTTATGAATAAATTCCTCTGGGAGGTTCATGGTGATGCCTATCCTGAAGACTTCAGATTCTACTTATTAGACAATTTTCTAATTCTACCAGTACCCCTTAGGCTAGAAAATAAGTTTCACCTTTTTTGTCCCCTTATTTCAGATAGGACATGGGTGTAATTGGTGTGTCATTTTAATTTTTTTTCATTATTGCTATTTTTTCTATTGCAATTTTTGGTCTGCTGAGGTTAATAGCATGTAATGTAATAAAGCACCAAGTTGTCAACTGTGACTTTTATTGTTAAATTATTTTAAAAATATTTGATGTGATTAAAAGTTCAATTGAAGGCATGCAAGTTTTCATTTTAGATGGTTTAAGCCCGAGCAGCTGTCTTTAGAGAGTAACTGCATAGTAAAATTTAAGGACTCGTAAATGCCCACTTAGCTGCCAACTGCCATCAGCAAGGAATTCATCTTTTGCTCTTCTGACCTCCAGTTTTTAAAAACCTTTTCCAGTCCTCTGTGTGATGTGAAGTTGAGTTTTGAAATCTGTATGGATGTAAATAAACATTTTGATAGTTCTAGAGTTTTTGTGGAACAGTGAGAATGCTCTACTCTTTATTTAAACCTCTTCAGTTTCAGAGCTCTGTTTGCAGTTCATCAGTACATTTGGAGTGCCACATGCTGTGAGGTGGGGTGAGTCACTAACTGCCAAATGTGTGTACATGGTGCAAGGGAAAGCATTAAAAAAAACTTGTGTGTTAATGGGAAAGCAGTAAAAAAAATCTCTTCATAGATAATATTTGGAGATAAAGGGAAGAGATGTAAGAAAGCTATTTTATGAGCTCTGAGGAGGAAGGGATCGGTTTTTGAAAAGTCCTCTCTCATTCCCAGGTGCTCCTCAAGCCATCAGTGGATGCCCACAAAATACTTCCATCTTCTGCAGCAGGCATCAGAAATATAAGGGAGGGATCCCAAACAGTTCTGCTTATTTGCAGAGCATTTTAAGCATGTCGCGTCTTAGCCATAAGACTTCAAAACTTTGGCTGTGACTAAGACTGTACAGCAGCTCCAAGCTTGAAATTTGTAAGGCTTTTGGGAGCCTTCTTCCAGATTTCTCTGCAGAACACTAGAGGGCATTGCTTTCTCTAGTTTTAAATACAAACTTTCACACTTGCAGTGCAATTGGTACTAAAACAAAAAGCCCTTAAACTTAGTTTGAACTTCCTGCGTTTTTGAATATACTGTGGGAGAAAATGTGAAGAATTCAGTGAACTTTCAGGTGAGTTATTGCTAAGAATTATCTCTGGAAGAAACAGTTGATTTGAGTGACCCTTTCACAGTTGCGAGTGGCTTGAATTCCCTGGACTGGGGTCTGGGTTTGGTGGCATGGCCTGCTTCTGCTGAGCAGCTCCCAGAGAAACAGGCAGCTCAGCAGCAGTGCTCCACGTGGGGGTAGGACTGAGCCGTGTAGGAGAGAGCTGGGCAAGAAAGAAATCAAAACCCCAGTGTAAGAAGCAGTGTTTGGGATATTTAAGACAGTAATGTAATCATGAAGCATTATACTTGCATTATAGTTGCATTCTGCTGTATTTATTGACCACTTCCAGTTGGCTGTTGAATATAATAATCCATTTATTTACTAATGTTTTCTGTCTGGCTACTTAGTATCAGGCAAATTCTGAAAACCTTTTGCTTTTGAAGTCATGGAGAGATGGAGCCAGCTGTGAGTTTAGGGTGTGCAAATACACTGCAGGTCAGACACATATCTGTTACCAGGTCAGGCACAGCAGAAATGCAGCTTTTGCTCTTTTGCAGTTCTACATTGTTCTCCTTACAGATCTCTGCAACAAGCTTGTGCCTCCAGCTCAATTGAATTTGGGGCAAAATATGTTTTCTTCTCATTTTTGAAAGTTCATCTATTCCCTCCATTTACAAAGGTGGCCCTCTGATATTCCTTGTATAAATAACTTAGGGGTAATTTACTGGCCTTTGCCCTAGTTTTCAGAAAGTTTAAAAAAAATAAATAAATTTTGGCCAGAGGACCCCCTGTAGAGACATCCCCTCTGTGCTCCCTGCCTCTGAGTGGTCGCTGCGGTGCACAGGCTGCTAATCAACAAAGGTCATTTTAAACCAAGCAACACCTGCTCTACCTTTGGATCAAGTTTTAATTTTTTGCTGAGGCACAGTCAGCAGATACTGGCTGCCACCTGGCTCTGGAGACCACCTGTAAGCCCTGCTGACCCCCCACAGCCACGTGCAGCGCCCGGTGAAACAGCCAGCGCAGAGCTGAGGGGGCCGGGTGGAACTTTCCAGAACGCCCTGAGTGGTGCCAGCTGGCCCCAGGGCGGCCCCCACGCTGAGGGGAGGCAGCTGTGGCGGGGCAGGTAAGCAGGGGCACCTGAGCCCTCAGGGAGCTGCAGAGGGATCGGCAGCAGAAGCAGGAGGAAAGTGCTGCATTTCTTCCATTTTTTTCCTGCTTTTTGGTGTGCGGAGTGGCTGGTGGAACTGTGGACGCCGTGAGCTAGGTTAGTAGCATTGAACTATGTGTTTTGCGTGGTGGGGTCTGGGCTGCTGCGTGCCTGGTGGGCAAGAAGGAGGGCACCTGTGCCTTCTCATTGGGGTTGTGGAGGATTCTGTGCTGCTGAGGTGATGGTTGTGTTCCAGCGCTGCGCTGGAGGTTACCTCATGCTTGCCCCATGGGAGGAAGGGAGTTACCCAAGCCCCCCAGCACAGTGCTCACCCTTGCTTCAGGGAGGCTTTGCTTCAGGGTGGTTTGCAGGGCCCTGGGTGCACAGAGGGGTTCTAGCAGGTCCTGGGACCCCCTGGTGGGAACAGCCTAGCAGCAAAGGGACCCAGCAAGGCAGGGGAATGTGGATGGTGGCTCAGTTTTTGGTTGTGTTCTCCCTGGGCTTCTTGCAGAGCTGAGGTTGTGGTTCTCTACTCTCTCTTGCGTCCCTCTCTTTCTGTACTCCTCTCTTGTGTTTCCCAGCTGTCTTTTATCAGGCTTTCTTTCCGTCCTGGTCTTCATCTTTCTGTTTTTAATTGCCCTCATTCTTATTGCTTGTAGCTGCTCTCATCTTTTCTTGCTCCTTTGGCTGTGTGCAGAAGCACTCAGTAGCACACCAGGTTAACTGGACAACAAAAGTGCTGCTGCTGAGTTCCATTTGGTAGCTCAATGGTTTCTTGTCTGAAGGTCTTGGCAGATACCAATAAATAATGCTTGTGATGTGCCTACTTGGAAGTCGTAGGACAAAAAGAGCTATAACTTTAAGGTTTAGATTGCACTGCACCATTTGGGTCTGTTCTGTCAGAGATGTGATGACACTTTAGTAATTAATCTGTTATGTTTGTCTGTTAAAGGGAAAACTGAAGCTTGTGAATTAAGTGACTTTTCTATTATTGCCTCCACAGTCAACTTGTACTGCATAAAATCAATGAGCATATCTCCAAAACAATGGTTTAGACTTTTTTGGTGCAGATGGGCTTTTGCTAGCAGCTTCTCTCACTGTGTGCATTCAGCATGGTTTTTGATCTCTTTGGAGTACCAGGGTGTAGAACCATAGGATTCTTAGAGTTGGAAGGGACCTTTAGAGGTCATCTTGTCCAAACTCCTCCGCAATGAACAGGTCCGTGAAGAGCTCTTAATTACCTCCAGATGTGTGTTGCTGTTAGTGAATTGTAGTTTCAGGCAGGGTTGATCTGTGTCACGTTGTGAAGATGCTATGACAGCCATGCTAATGTGTTGAGCAGCAACTGTCAAGATAGTTAGCATTCTTCACAGAAAATCTCGCTGCTCCTGGCATCAATATTTCTTTCGTATAGATTATAAAAATTAAATATAGAGCGATACAAAAGTTTCTCTGTTAAAGTATCGTGCATCTCTTGTCTGACATGCATGTCAGCTCACTCACAAAATCTTAGTTGTACTGCACGCCACAGATGGCAGCTCATTTTTGTTCCTCTTGGTTCTGTCTCCTCTAAGATTGATCAAATTTGGATCGATGAAGTTATTTGGGCAGAAGCTGCCACTGCTCTCCCGCTGTCTGTCCACTGATAAAAGAAGTGGGAGGAGCACGGGAACGTTAAGTGAACTTTTGAGTGTGATTCTGTCTTTTTTTCTTTTTTGGTACTGTTACATGTTATTTCTGGAGGAAAGTGTGGGCTTGCTGACCGTTCTTTTTTGCCATGAGCTCTCATCAGCAAGTTTTACTTTTTATAGTCATCTCTGAAGCTCAGATTTCAGTGGTGGATTATTATTTATTTTTGTTAAAATACAATTTGCAAGCTAAAAGTAGGTTTCAGAACCTGGATGTCTCTATTCAGCAGCACTCCGGCTCTTCAGAAATCAAGTGGTTTTGCTGTCAGTGTACACTGGTGCCATAACAACCCAGCATTGTACTGTTGGAAAAGTTAGCGGGTGCACCCATGTGCTTTTTGCAGAACTCCTCTAGAGCTAGTGTGTAATTGTCAGTATTCTCCCAGGGGCAACAAACTGATTGCCTGCCGGCCAGTCCCTTCTGCTACCAAGTAACTCTAGAGGTTAAGAAACAACTCTTAATTTTGTAACTTACCTTTTTCTTTGAATCAGCAGTCTTTGCTTACTGGATTCCGTAAATATTTATTTTGGTCCTTCTTATAGTTCACTGCAGATGGAGGAAAGAAGAAAACCTGTAGCTAGCATGGAGTTCTTGGCCTCTGTTTGAACAGAAAAAGCCATTTTATAGCCATTTTAAACCCTTGCCAGGAACATGCAGTTTTAGAGAGAAAACATGATGCACTGTAGAAAAAACAATAGACTGAGGTTAGGGTAATCTCGCATGATGTAGAAGATCCCTGTCAGAGCACCCCCAACTTCTGGGCTGACAGTTGCTCTGACGCAGAACGTTTTCCCAGTTCGCTGATGTTTCCACCTTGTTCTCATGCTACACTGAACTTTGATGGTGTCAAATTGTACCTAAAATCAAATTCTTACTTCATGGTTCATCCTTACCAAATGTTTATGAAGAATGAATTAGCACGGGATCAAGGTTCTTAGAATATGATTGGTTTCATTCAATCTTTTTTATGTAGGTAACCACATATTACTGCATTAAATTGTACAAAATCAGTAACTGGAAAATATTCCCATTCTCCTTACTGAATACTGTAAGCTAAACGTTGCTGGTGCCTTTCTGACTCATCAGTTTTGCCACCTGTGTGAGAGGAGCAAGAATGAGTGAGTGTGAGGGAGTCCTGTTTGGGGATGGGGGTGTAATCTCCTGGCTGCAGAGCCAGGCTTACTGGAAAGTCGCATGCATAAAGAAGGAAGTCATGTGCTTTTATCCTCTGTGTTCGACAATGAGACAAACTTCACAATGAGAAACTGCTTCAGCCTGGTAATGCCAAGGGATCATGGGAGGTAAGTGCACTAAGTAACCATAATTGAGCACTTCTTTGATAACAAGCTTTCCTCTTCCTCTAACTGCAAAATGATAGCGTACTTCTCTTGGCAGACAGTTCTGGATGGAGAGCTCAATTCAAAGGCAGCCTTTGCTGTTAATACCCAGAGGCACATTCTAGCCCAGGCATTCCTTTCTGTGTGTGCAGGCATGCTCGTTTTAAGACTTTGATTGTTTCAAAGCTTAATTCTTCTGGTGACAGATGTGATTGTCCTCTTACAGTTTTATTAAAGTAAAGATCCCTTGCCATTTTGCTACATCTGTATTCCATGTCTTCTGCAGATCAAGCTGTGTGTGCCTTCAGGATTTTATTGCTGCTATACTCCTCTAAGGGATGATCTGTCCACTGCACTGGGAGACTAAGCATTCACTACATAGCCCAGTTGAAGCTTCTGTTATTTGCTTTTTCTGCTCTCCCATTCACTCTTATGGATTTCCATATTTGATAAACTTCAGGGAGTTTTGAGGCCCCAATAATGCTATTTGTAAAGACATTTTGGAATTAATGTATGCTTCTGAGACATCTTGCGTGTTAGCTGGTGCCTGGGATGAACCTGTGTGTTTCCCTTAATTTCTATCAGAAAATCTTGCTCTGATGATTGAAAATTTACTTGCTAAGACCAGCTGCTGACCATCTGTTTGGCTTTGTTATTTCAAGCAATATCGAGCTATCCTGAACTTGTCCCCATCTCCCTGGATGCTGTTGTATGTGTTTATTCAATGGCAAAGGTGTAAATGTTCTACTCTACTACATTTGTAACTTATCTGTTAGCACCTAATATTTGGGAATCTTTATTTTCTGATCACTCTGATGTACATGGATTTAATGAAAATGGAACCACGCTGAAGTACGTAATAAATCTCTCACCTGTTGCACTGTGTGCTTCCAGGTTCCCTAGGAACATTAGTGTTCATAACCTCATTGTAGGGGCAGCAGGCAGTGTGCACACGTGGATTGCTTCACCTAATGCTGAGGTAGGGAGGACTCAGTCATGTATTACAGCACACAGAAACGCTATGTGGTATTTTAGCCTGGAGAGCAGGGTACTGTATTTAGACAAATCTGTAAGATTGATTGAGGTAGTTATCTAAATTGGATTGTTTCCAGACCAGTGGGATTAACAGCCCTCTTTTTGCAAAAGTGTTATGAGATCTTTAATGATCACACAGGGTCAAGACCCCTGTTTTATGTCTCATCTGAAAGATCATGAACTTATAACTACTGATCTGTCACTGTCTTATCTGACTATCTAGTCTAGAGACTACTTTATTTTAGACAAGATTTGTGTTACTGGAAGCCTAAATGCCATCAAAGCTTTTAGTCCTTGCCATGTTCCTTGCCTGAGGAAGTTTTTAACAGGTTTTTATTCTGATGTATTTTTGATTCGTTTTTCCCTTTTCATGGCAGGCCAAACTGAGACTGCAAAGAATATTTTCCAGTTTGTACCTCTGTCATTTACTGCTACACAGAGGACTGCCTACTGAGCCAAGCCTGAAAATGGCTGATTCCTGGGCTGTTCAGGAGGGTGTCTGCTTCCCAGGGCTTTTTCTGAGGCAGCTCATCTCCGTCAGTGTGCCCACCTCTCACAAAAGCCCCTGTTTGCTTCTTACAGTAAAACTGCGTCCATAGCAAACTGAAGAATGCAGCAGCTGTGTGCAACACACACATGCTTTTAAGTGTTTCAGAAATAACTGTTTCATGTGTGCATGCATGTGCCTGTGCAGAACCTTCCAGGAAACTTAAAAGCAAGTTCTTTTTGGTAGCCTAGCTCTTCTCTGATGAGATATGCCAGGAAATTAGAGGAGCTGCCCCTCCCAACTATTCTTAGTGTATTACTTGTAGCATAGGTATGGAGTATGGACCCAGATCACAACTTCACCGTTTTTAAGGTGTGGGCATCAGATTTCCATCATCTTAATGCATTTATATATGGCCACATGATTTACATGCTACCCATAAACACCCATAAACATCCCATAAGCATGTAATAACAGCACAAAGACATACAGACACGTGGTTCCTGTGAAGGGTCTGTTTGGCCCACAACAAGGAAATGCATCTCTGCAGTAAGATCTCTCTGACCAAG